TCATTAGACTTCCTGAAGTCATCTGGATGTTTTCAGTGCTTGGAGAGAGCAAGAGAAAGAGATAATGTGTGCCTGTTGAAGGATAACATGGCTCTGTAATAGTCTGATTGGAGAGACGCCATGCAGTAAGTAAAGTCACTTGACCAGGACACTGCAGCCTCTGTTAACCGGGGGGCTTCAACCTAATTTAACCCCTTCAGCCTCTTTCATATGGAACATCCATACACACAAACTGTTTTCGTTCGCCACACTGGCCATCTGATAGCCATTAAGTAGAAAGCAGAAAAAGCGTGTCTATTAGTCATGACACCCTGTTTGTAGGTCTTGCTGATTTTGCACCTCATTCCTCTGTGCTCACCCTCAGGGCTTTACTGCTTATTTCCTGCTTATGCTCTCTCTTTTAATCTCTCACTTTCCTGCTGTTGCCCTTCTTTTGTCATAAAGTGAATTAATATGATAAATATTTTAACCTTTCTGAGTAAATTTAACGGACCTTCAGGTGTTCAGTAGAGTTAGGGCTGATGTAGTGCTCCCTTGTGGCACACAGAGCACAGCCCAGTGCTGTAAATGCAGGACCTGCACAGCTTGCTGTTCTGAACTCAGTCACTGGACATGACCTTGAACAACCACACAGGGTAGAGCGCAAGTACTGCTTGCATAGAGAGGCCCTGTGTGTTTGTGTACACACACACACACACACACACACACACACTTTGCTAAAATAAGTTTCCTTAATGTTGCAGCCGGCAAATTTTTTGCAACGGTTAAGGTGGATAAAAAGGACGGTATGAACATGCTGCTAAACTAGCATTCACACGCTCAAAATTTGCTTTTAAATCCGTAAACATGTTTTTGTTTTTTTTTTTTAATTCAGGCTTTTGATTTGGCCTTTAGAGCTGTGTTGCGTTATATGTTGCCAGGTTTTATCATTACAACTTTAGAAACAAGTTTTCTAAGTTTGTTAGCAATTAAAAAAAGAAAAACGTAACAATGTCACGATTTTCTTTTTGTATTTGTCACCTGTAATTGTGTGTTGCTACGTGCAATAAATAAATGTTCCTTTTTAAGTTAGAATCAAGGATGTGTGATGATATTGGAATCAATTCTGTATCAGCAGATAATAGCTTAATAAACATTTATAGACAGTTGTTTAGATTTGATTGATATGTAATGAAGTATAGATTGTACTGAAGAGCAGAACGTTTAGGTGACACTGGGCTACTATGCTAAAATCTGCATTTTATTCATTTTACTGCATTTATATCACTACTGAAATAAATGTTATCTTCTCTCTAATGTAAATCCAAATAGAACACAATGTTTTGAGTGAATGTGGTTTTTGATAAATGAGTGTCTGTAGCAGAAAAGCAGTGGTTAACAGTAGAATGAGCTCAATCAGAGCTGGCACTGGCTAAGCCTGCTGAACCTGGCTGCTGAAGGTAAATAATTAGGTTAGGTCGGAATGGATAGTAAATGACTTGGCATTCTGTAATAGTCACCTGATCTGCATTTCCAGTTGAATCTAAGTTACTAACTCAGACAGAAGGAAGAGAATAGAGTGATATGAAGCAAGAGTGTGTCTGTGTGTGTAAAAAGAACAGTGCATGGTCTCCAGCTTGTTTGGCTGCAGCAGTGAATGGAACTCATTGTGTGTCTATATAATCAGCCCTTCACTGGACGGCTTCCTCCCCTAATAGACCTCACCGTCTCCCAATCTGAGGGCAGACAGTGTACATCCACTAGTGGCCAAGCAAAGCCAGAGCACATCCAAAACCTAAAGGTGCAACACCCAAAATGCAAGCTAATGCAGAAGCTTCTGTTTACTGTGCAGTACACAAGGAAGTCTCTTTTTAAAATTAATTAATTTATATGTTTTCTTCCTGTTTGGTTTGTGAATCTTGATTAAAGAATCTGCCCACAGACCACACCGGGCGTTCACAGCGTGTGTTCATGTTATTGTGGTGTGTGTGTGTGTGTGTGTGTGCATCTCCCATCTGGGCAGGTCCTGGTTACCCGGGCTTCGTATTTCGTTGCGACATTCGATACGCTTCACCTGCCACTACGACAGAGACAACACATGCAGCTGCTGCCCTCTGTAATGTCCTAATCAGGTGCAGAATTTACAGTCCCAGGGCTTTCCTTGTGCCTTAGGAGCCCATCACAAACACTCAGAAAACAGATAATTTCCAAGCATATCTCAGGATACATGATCCAGATCAGGGTCTGGTCTGTACAGGAGAGGGTCTGTCAAATTAACCGACTGGCAGATAAAACAATCTGGCACCCTTCCACCAGAGACTACATCTCATATTCTGGAGTTTTTGTTTCATTTCTGTATTTCTCAGCATAGTTCAGCAGACTGAAAACCTATGTTAGAATTTTTGTAGGTGGTGTTCACAGTATGTTTGTGTAGATAATTAGTGGGTGATGTTCTGTTAGAATAACTTACAATTAGGTGCAGTCTTTTCTGTTGTGTTTTTAACTAACCATAGATTAAGATGAATTGTTAAATGAAGGCAAAAAAACACCAGTAGGAAAGAATGATAATTTACCCAAAGGTAGGCTAATATCATAACTTACTTAAATTATTGTGATGTTTGACATCAGTTATCAGCCCAGGGCTATCACCTAATCATTGCAGTTGTGTCCTAAAGTTTTATGTTGCCATCGGTTAAGGACTCTCTTTCTCAAAGTTCATCCTTCTTATCTCCTCCCATCTTTCTGTCTCAAAGAGCACCATTCATCCCTGGACATTCCCTCATGGTGAGGCTTTAAGTTGATTTTGTTGTTTTGATATTGTGTACCAGGAGATGTGAATCACACCGAATTCTTCTGTATCAGATGCACACATGTGGTTTTGGACTGGCTCTGTTCAGTGCACACTAGACTCTCTGTTGGGTGGCACATGGTTCAGTGCTGGTCCGTTTGCCAGTGTGCTGAGCGGAGAGGGAGCGTAAAGAGCCGCAGCAGCTGGAATGTTCTGAATGTGGCCGTCCAACAAGCAGGCTCTTGATATAGTTTGGCGCCCACACACCCTTGCACAAACTCGCACACATACATGCACAGTCACATTCATTTTCTCATTGCAGCCTTTTTTGCAGCTCTTCTGGTCCTTTGGGTGATGCTTGTGGAAACATCTTGAGTGTTGAACAGTTCTGTGTAGTTGTATCCCTGAAGAATCTGTGGTATGGAGACATTATGCTGGTCTGAGCTGAATCATTTAAACATACATCAAGGGTTTGGTGCTTAGTTCTTGGGGTTCTGCTCCTCTGCATTCAGCCTGTTTTATATTAAAGCATGATAGTCAGAATATTTGAATGACATTTGCTGTGTTTATGTTGTAATCAGTGAAGGTACATACAACCGTGTAAATGTTGCCATAGTGGTAGCCAGAATTGTTTCAGTAACAGTGCCGTTCCTGTCTGTGCACAGGATAATGGTGTTGGCCGCTATTGTATCCTTAAGTGTTTTGAATACAGGTTAATGTTTCTAAGGCTGTGCTTTTTCGAAGGTTGGTGTTGCTGTATATGAACTGTATGTGGACTTCTATGATGCCTGTGTCAACATTTATTACACAGCAAAGTTTAACTCTTGATGGAACAATGAAATATCTGGTTTGCCATCACCCTTATGTCATTATGTAATGATGTTATAAGGATGATGTCTGCGTCACTTTTTTGTGAGTTTAAGTAGGACTATATCATGAATAAGCTCATGCCGATACAAGTGTTGATACAGTAATAACTGTATCGATATTTAAAAATTTACCTTTACATGATGCATTAATGTGCAATATGGGTGAAACAGTAATGACTGAAAAGAGATACTGCTTTCATTTCTGGGATTGCGGCATTTAATGATTAGGATTTTGCTGCCTCAGTCTGCAGTCTCACTCTGATCTCTTTTAGAGAAAAGAAAACATCTTACTCTGGTCCCTTTTGTACTTTGTGAGTTCTGAAGGAAAGAAGCACAGAGTAAAGTTCATTTGTTAGTTTGTGTGCTGCTGTGGGTGTGAATGAAGTAAGTGTCTGTTACAGACAGTCGTTAAAGCATGCGTGATCCTTGTTAGTTTCCCTTTCATAGACGTGGCTGTAGTGGGTTATCAGTTTGTAGCTTGCTGTGATTAGCGCTTAGCCATTAGTATTGTGTTTATGTGTTTTGTAGAGCTGCTTCGTGTTGTAATGCTGTTAAAAACCAATGATGTTACTGTGCTCTGTGTGATCTGTGACACATTGTGACACTATGTGTTCATGAACATATTGGTGTTTGCTGCCACAAGTTCTTTCTCACGCTTGTGCCCAAACACTGAGTACTGCCTCCCGGGCTGAGGTTTATGAGATCAAAAGTGCAGAAAGTTCTCTCCTCTGCTTCCTTGTGCTCTGAGTAAATCATACCTATAATGTAGGTCTTACCTCTCTCAGCTTTATTTAATCATCTTCCATATATTTTTGAAACAAATTTAAGGGAAACACTGAGCAAAAATAACTGTTGTACATCTGGTGTTTTTTGTCATTTTATTATAATGCTTGTATTTTGATATTAATTGTGAAGTTGTTGACAATACCGTAAGTTCAAGTGCAGTGTTGGACTGATTTATTTTTATGCTTGGTAAACCTGTGAGTCACTGTTTTATTAAGTGACTACTCTTAACTGTTGTGCCCTCTGCAGTTCCTCTCCTTTTGGTAACTTCTGTCTGTGCAGCAACCCAAGTGGTTTCTTCCTTTATTGTGCAACAAAACAACGGAAGCTGCATGGCCCCCATAACCTTTTTTTTTTTACTGTATTGCAATCTGTTGGCCCAACATGCATCACATGAACATTTACAGAGCTCTTTTTTTTAGTAATATTAGTATAAAATGATGTGCCGACAATAATTTTTTTTTCCCATTATTTTTCTAATTGCTTCATTGCAGCTCTAGTTCAGTATATGTTGCTATGAATATATGCTGTTTCCACAGTATAGTATATTAACTTATGTTTGTATTGGTGTTTTTTTCCAGCCCTTCTTCAGACTGCTGAACCTGCGGAAGCTGGGCCTGAGTGACAATGAAATCCAGAGGCTGCCTCCTGAAGTGGCCAACTTCATGCAACTGGTGGAGCTGGACATCTCCAGAAATGGTACACACACAAACACACACACACACACACCCATGCACGCACACACACACACACACACACACACACACACACACACACCCATGCATGCACAAAAATACACCTTCTCATTCATGCACCCACAGACCCTTATGCCACTTACTCACACGCATCACACACTCAGAGTTCCTAAGCATCAGTTGTTTATGTGTGAGCTGCAGTCTGTGTGTACACACATACATGACATACTGCACAGTGTTTTTGTACTCATCATTTTCTTAATTATATCTCTAAGAATCAAATGTTATGTCTGAAGCTTTATTTCTGCCATAGATTCACACCCTTTCTTAAGTACATTCAGTAAGAATCTCTGGATTTAGAACCAGCAGTATTATATTCTCCTGCTCAATGAGCTCAGGGTGGGAATAGGAATTGCCCTTGGTGTGTCTTTGTTGCTTAGTGCCTATCGCAGCCCAGAGTAGAAGATATGTTGTGAACACACCCACTCCCACACAGAAAAAGTCAGTTGATCGCAGTTTTTTCTATTCCCTGCGATAACTGGTTAGGGTTGTAAGCTGGTTAATCACATTATCTCAAATTGTCATTTTTAGGACTAAGTATCGAATTCAATACTTTTGTGGTATTACCAAGGTCTTACCAAGCACAGAAAAACATCTTATCATTCAGTAACAAATTTATATACCTGAACAGTCAGTCATTAAGCCAATAAGTAAGCTTGTTCCAAAAACTGGACTGCTAATTGGCTGCCTAAATTACATTTCATGTGCATGTTATTAACATCAGTGCTTTTTGGTGACTCTGCAGTATGTTGTGGTCTGTACATACAACGACATCAACAACAACATTTATTTGTATAGCGCTTTTTACAGTTAGTGCTGACTCAAAGCAGCTTTACAGTAAAAGCTGTACATACACACTTTCAGCACTTCACTAATTTCTGGTTTCAGTTGTAAGTAAAAGGAAGGTCCTGACTAAAGTACTGTAGAGGAGTCTGTAAAATGATACACAGCCCTACTTATGTTGGCCTTTGCAGATATTGTCAGTTGAGTGTTTCTGGTTAGAAACAACACTACCAAATGTACTGATGATGATGATGATGATGATCACATAGTCGGTTTCTGGAGAGTGCTTTGATTATTTGTACTGATCAGTTAATTGGCATTAATTGCAGTTGGGTTCTGAAATTGTGCTTTAACTCTTGACACTCCTTTGTGTAGATCTTGCTAACTCTGCATCCCCATTTCTCTCCCTCTCCCTTTCTCTCCCTTTCTCTCCCTCTCCCTCTCTCTCCCTCTTTTTCTCTCTCTCTCTCTCTCTCTCTCTCTCTCTCTCTCTCTCTCTTAGACATTTCTGATATCCCGGATAGCATTAAGTTCTGTAAAGCTCTGGAGATTGCAGACTTCAGTGGAAACCCGCTCTCTAGGTGAGTTCCACAAATTCCACCACACCACTGGGTCAATCCAAATGTCACACATATCAAGAAAGAGGTGGGGGATGGGATGACAGGAAAAGAAACTAGAACAGTTCTCTGTACGGTGTATGAGAAAAGTGAATCTGGACTTTATTGTATTTTTCAGAGTTAGTGTCAGCACTGCTTTAAACCATAGAAATCAAGTTATTACTGCCATTTATCTATACTCTTTAAATGTAATTACTTAGTCACATAATTACATAGTTGCGTGCTGAAATACATTTTTATTTAATTTGTCTGTTTTGTTTCAGTGTCAAGATATGACAAACACATGACAAGATGTAAAAGATTTTCTTTATGCAAAGTTAAGACCATACACATGACAGTAACCTTTTTTCTGGCTCAAATCATGATTACTGTTGTACACAACACAAACGCATGTGGTATTGATTGAAAGTTTAGAATCTATATTTTTAGCAGAATGGACTTGCTTGTTTAATTCTGTTACAAGTGAGAGATAATTAACGTTAGGCATTGCTGTTTTTATTGACATCAAAAAGTTGATTTCTAATGCAGTGCCGTTCTTTCATGTTATCCATTTGGGCGCTATGGTTCTGTTCCAGGACGTAGCTGAAGGAAATAAAGATCAGTACTGTAGTGATATACGGATGCATATAAATATGTCTTGTATTAAAATGTAGTGATGCTTTATGCCATTATTACCTACAAAAAAATGTATTCATACAGTAAGATATATTCTCTCTCTCTCTTTCTCTTTCAGATTGCCTGATGGCTTTACGCAGCTTAGAGCACTAGCCCACCTTGCACTCAATGATGTGTCACTACAGTCACTACCGAATGACATAGGAAAGTGAGTGTGCATACACATACACCCCATAGCATTTTTAAATATAAAACAGAGTGTAAAGTACAGTGCACAGCTTTGAATTAAACAGAAATCAGCATCATGAGGTATTTAAAGCTTTCGCTATTATTATTTAATCACCTGATTGCACTTATTTGAGAGGAGTGAAATTATTTCATTTTTATATGTTTGCATTGCATCAAGCAGAAACTGAATTAGGTGTGTTTTCATCAGTTGGGTTGAGACGAATGTATGTAGATAACATATAGCCGAAAACACATTTATTGAGCCACATCTACACAGTGAAAGTTCTAACTAGTGCTATAACACCTCTAGCGGGCAGTTGTGTTGAAGTAATGTTTGTTTATTTGAGCTCGAACTTTGTCGTCAGTTAGGAGCTCCTAAATATGGACAACTTGAAAGCAAGACAGCTAATCAGCCCATTTGCTCACTTTAGACTTGTACTTTAATAATTGCATATAATGAACAAAGAGGACCAATCACTTGTTAATCACAAATATGTATATGGCAATAAATTGTCAGCCAAAGTGTAATGATTGTGGTAGGCACAGATTTAGCATTATTATAATGTGTGTTTGTGTGTGTGTACATGAGCACACACAGGCTCTGGTTTTGGCTCTGAGTGGTGTTCATACAGATGGAGGAGCCCCTCACTCTTTCAGACCAACTGCCACAGCATAAACCCACCATCTGACGTTTCTGTTGTCATTCTTTTCTTTCATTTCATGTGTCTTCCTCTTTTTTTGTCGTGCTTTGTTTCTTCCAGCTTGGCTAACCTGGTAACTCTAGAGCTGAGGGAGAATCTACTGAAGTCTTTACCCACGTAAGTCCACGCTTAAAACTTGGATTGATGCCGAAGGATTCTGCCTGTATGAGTGTGTTATAATTTTTGTTGTCTCTTTGTCTCTCTCTAGCTCTCTGTCTTGCCTGGCGAAACTGGAACAGCTAGATTTGGGCAGCAATCAACTGGAAGTGTTGGTAAGATCTAGCAACACACACCTCACCCAGTCCTCACACGTTTTTTTTCCCCTCTATGAGTACGGGCTTTTTTCTTTTTTCTCTCTTCGCGTTCCTCTTAAATCTCTTTTTATGCCGCCATGGCAACGCCCAGTAGTTGTCTCAGTGGGACTGAGTAAACAATACGGGATCACACAAAGGCGTCGCCCAGGCAATGCTGATGATGTAATTGCAAACCACTACCCACAGTTCCTTTCTGCATACAACATCCACCCCAATCACACCTAACAGCTCTGAGGATGGTGATATAGTGCAATAATGCTTAATAAGATGTTCACTCCTCAATGAATGTTTGTTTAATTGAGGAGTACAAAGGTCTGATAAGTGCTGACATATTCGTCTATTTCAGTCATGTGACCTTTTTCTTACAGCGGCCAATTCTTCTTCCAAGTCTTCTGCTGCATCTCAATGAGAGGGAATTAAAATATAGCGAATATCAGTCCTGGAGAAAAAAAAAAAACTTATTTTAAAAAATGCTTTTAATTTCATACATACATACATCCCCGTTCTCAGGAGTTATTGATTCAAAGGATCCATATCCTACATTTACAGGGTTCACTTATGATGTTTGGTTTTATTTTGCCAAAAACAGTCATAACAAAGCTCATTTCAGCTCTCTTTATTTCTTAGAACTGAACAGCTGATTTGTTTGTTTTTTGTTTTTTGTTTTTTTTACTGTGCCTTTAAAGACTGATATATGATATATGAGCTCAGTTCTTATTGGCTTTCCTGCATTGTGCCTCATTCAAAAAGCAGACAGAGCTCAAACACACCTTACAACTTCAATGTAAATGGGCAGGGCTAAACTTCTGTAGGCTGAATAGGTGGACGTGTAAACCAGTGTGAGAATATGCGCCAGTTTGGTCAAAAGAGTGCTTATGAGGTCATGCATACTAATGTTGGATGAGAAAGTCTGGCTTGCAATTGATGTTTCAGTTCATCCCAAAGGTGTTCACTGAGCTCTTCAGTACAACCCATTCTACTGCCATTGTTTGTCAGTGTAGATTGCATGGCTATGTGCTTGTTTTTCTGCACCTGTTAGCAATGGGTGTGGCTGAAAACCTAAACTCAATAATCAGGAGGGGTGTCCACGTACTTTTGCTGTATCGTGTACTTTTTTGCATGATTCCTCACGCTGCTCTCGCTTATCATATTAAATCGCTTTGAATATGAGCATCTGCTCAAAATGTTTACAGACAAATGTTGTGTATTTAGTACACAGACCACCCACGTGCTCTGGCGAAAGTCTGAAAGTTATTAAAAGTTTAAAAAAAAAAAGGCTACTGATGCTGCGGTTTGAGTGCTGGATGAGCAAGCGGTACGGATATAAATAAGAATTAAAGTTGTCTGTAAATAAGAGAAAGGTGACGTTCTCTTTTAATATGACAATAGCCAGTGGTGTTACCTTACTTAGCAAAGGTTAGATGGAAGAGCCATTGAACTGTGTGGACTGCCTGCAGGGATCACTTTGATTGGTTCGTTTACTGCATGTACACCGTAAACATTAATATTAGTGATATTACTGCTCAAACACTGAAGTAATTAAACTTAATCATGTCAGTTATCTTACACAGGAAAATGTGTTTAATTTTTTGTTTTCTGATGGCTGTTTTCGCATCAAACTGTACAGCACACTGAATATATTGTCTCGGTCATAAAAATTGCAGGGCAGTTATACAATAACAAAACAGGAGTCAAATGAATGTTTTCCTATGAAAACCTTTAACTCTATCTATGACATGATGTACAGACTAAAAGACAGTGCTGCCTTTTGACCATTTCCGTGCTCTGGATGTTGAAAAAAGGAAGCTTTGAGTAAACTTTGTGAAAGCAGTCTTCCTTTGAAGCTGTATATTATTTATTTTTTCACAGAGGAATTGAATTGTTAATTAAGAGGTTAATTTCCCAGTGGACAGTTTGAGGTTGTGTAGCAATATACCAGACCTTTGAACTGTATTTGGAGCATATTAAGTGTTGAAGTGCCTGTGTGCCTCTCTTTTACCTGGTAGCTGTCCTAAACCTGAGCGCTGACTATGCTTGACCTTAGATTGGACAGGCTGCTGTCTTTCCTTCACTCTTCTTAAAATGCCTCTCTTTCTCTTAGCCGGACACAGTGGGGGCGCTGTCCAACCTTCGTGAGCTGTGGTTGGACAGGAACCAACTCTCCTCACTACCTCCAGTAAGTACATGTCAAACCTGTGGTTAGATTTTTCAAGCTTGTAATTCTAACCTCGTCTTACATGGCATAGTTTTAATTTTTGTGAGAAAATTTCACCACTGTTCACTTTTAACAACAAAAAGTACGACATCAGCTTGTCTATTGTGCATTGTTGTCAGTAGGTCAGTAGTCTGTAAAATGGCCCTTTTCTTCAACAGGAGTTGGGAAATTTGCGACGCCTGGTTTGTCTGGATGTGTCGGAGAACCGGCTCACGGAATTGCCCTCTGAGATCAGCGGCCTCATCGCCCTCACTGACCTGCTTCTCTCACAGAACCTCCTAGAAGTCGCGCCTGACAGCATCGGTGAGACAATGAGAATTTTATTACCGATTTTAAGTGATATTTGTGTGTGCTGTGTAGCCGTTCACCCGGTTTTGCTGTTAACTAAAAACTGTTTGTGGTTTTATCTTGCAGTACAGGTTAATCACCAGTTAAAAGGACAAATAGTTTCTGGTTGGCAGGCTCACTAAAGACCATGACCAGACATTTAAGTTGAAATTTAACATGTGTAAATTCTTCATTGTCCTGTATATGTCTAATGTAAATCACATGCTTTGGTTTTATCTCACTGTGTGAACAGTGGACATGGCATGTACTAGGAATGTTTTCATTTTGCAGCTGCTCATCTGCCCTCTAGTGGCAGTTAGCTTGTATGACTCGAGTCATTCTCAGTCATTAGGGTATTGCATTATTTTCTTTCAGACTCCAAGTTAACTGTTGGGCGTGCTGAGATTTCGGTGCTTCTGTTAACTTTGTGTATCTCTTCTTTGTTTATAGGCTCCTTGAAACAGTTGTCCATTTTCAAAGTGGACCAAAATCGCCTGGTTCATTTAACTGACTCCATTGGAGAGTGTGAGAACCTGACGGAACTTATGCTGACAGAGAACCTCCTACAGGTACAAAACTGGGCACTGAAGTTTATCTTCATCTTGTTCTGTCTGATTTAGAAGCACTACCTGGGCTTATTTGTTCTTAAAAACCAACAGTGTGGATTTACTAAAATTATATATTTTTTCCTGTCTCTTCCTTGTCCTCTTTTCTCCTGCAGTCCCTCCCTCGCTCCCTGGGGAAGCTGAAGAAGCTGACCAACCTGAATGTGGACCGTAATCGTGTGAGCAGCGTGCCAGCAGAGCTGGGTGGCTGTGCCAGTCTGAACGTGCTCTCGCTCAGAGATAACCGAGTGGGCAAACTGCCTGCTGAGCTTGCCAATGCCACTGAGCTACATGTACTGGATGTGGCAGGAAACAGGTGAGAGCCATGCATCTGGAAGCTCTCACACAATGAGAATTCATTTCAATGCTGTCTATCTAAAGGAAATTTAGGGGAAGCAAACTAGAGTAACAGTCAGCTGTAGTCTGTGGTAGATATTCCAGGGTGAAGCCTATATCTGGCCACCCTTATTACAACCTTAGGCTCTAATTAGCCTGTTTCTGCTTTTTCTTTGATAGACTTCTTACATTAGTCATTGGATTATCTCATCTGTCTAATCTGAGTGTTATGTTTTTCATTTCTTTAATTAGACTTCTCATTTTTTATCGTAATTCTGCTATCTGGTGTTGACCAGAGAAGTATGATTTCCGTTTTTGATTTTTGGTTCCTCTCAGCATTTCTTCTTCATGTTCTTAGCAAGTTTTTCCCACCTTGATCACCCTCGGCTCATTAGAGTTTCGCTTGGATTTCTGTGAAGTAGCTTTGTGACAGTGGCTGCTCTAAAAAGTGCTGTATAAAATCACTGAATTGAACTGAGTTAATGGTAATCTCTCTGTTCTCTCCTCTCCACCCAATAGGTTACAAAATTTGCCTTTTGCGCTGGCCAATCTAAACCTGAAGGCTATGTGGCTGGCAGAGAACCAGTCTCAGCCCATGCTGAAGTTCCAGACCGAGGACGATGAGCGTACAGGAGAGAAAGTTCTCACCTGCTACCTGCTGCCCCAACAACCAACACCCAGCTTGGGTGAGGCCTGATGCATTCTTTATCTTTCATATTCAGGTCTGAGCCAGCAACTTCTGGTGTGGTCCTGGCCCACAAAGCTGCTGCTTGTCTTTTGCATCATTATTGTAGCAGTGATGTGACTGGATGAATTAGACATTTAACTGACAGTTAAAAGACTGGCCGATTCTGTCTCTTTTTAGAGAACCTGCTGCAGAGCAGCGTGGATGAAAGCTGGCCCACAGACACTAATCTGAACAGGGTGTCAGTCATCCAGTTCCAGGAGGAAGCCAAACCTGAGGAGGAGGATGAAGAGTCTGCTGCAGAGAGAAAGGTTAGACACACTGTGTACATATATGCACAGAGGTGGCTAGTAACTCGTTACATGTACGTTTTTGATAGATTTGTACTTTGTGTTTTCTGTGTTTTCTAAAATTATAATACTTTGACTTCTACTCAAGGAAATTAGCCGTTCACATTGAGACTCTCATTTAATTTTAGACCAAGAGGATTCCATAAACAGAATAACAGCACATAACGAACTTCATTTTCTATGTTGTTGCTGGATGTACCAAGAGGTTTTGCTGCACTTTGTTGTGGTAGTTTTTACCTGATATTTTTTCGCTCTTGCTCAAGTAGTTTTTTTGCTCGGCTGTTTTTACTTCTACTTGAATGGTTATAGAGAGAGAAGTAAGAATACTTCTGTGTGAGAAAGGGTATAGGCTACTGTACCCACCTGTGTAAGTCTATGTTTTTAGTGCTTTTGTGCTGCTACATCTGTGTGTGAAAGCATGCAGAATAATTTTGGGTATTGCTTTGTTTGAACCAGCAGGGTCTCCAGAGGCGAGCCACTCCTCACCCCAGCGAACTGAAGGTGATGAAGAATGTGATCGAGGCAAGAAGAAATGAAGCATACACGTCTAAGCCAGATGATGATGATCTGGAGTGTCCAGACAATGAGGTGTGTATCTGAATGTGTCTGTGTGAATATGTTCATGCTAACAGTGCACAAGAATGAAGATTCTTAACCAAAACCAAAATTCTGGACACACTCAGCTGAAAACGGAAAACCGGAAGAAAAAGGATTTGTATGTGTAATTTGCCTTTGCATTTCTGTTTGTGAAGTAACTTAATGGTACTGAAGATGCTAAAGTGGACTGTGTTTGATTGTTTCACTGTTTGTCTGCCGCTGCTCATACTGTTTGAATGAGTCTGTGCTGGCTAGCGCAGGAGAGCGAGGAGAACAAACAACAAACAAACATTTGTCACTTTGAATGTTTAAGTGATATAATTTACTAATTAAATGTTACAATTTTTCTGCTTTTTTTGCCTTTTTGGCCAAAAACTGAAATTGCCACTTTTCATTAGGATGGTCAAATACAAAATTCTTTGCGTTACCCGTGCAGGTAGGTGCAAAGATGACAATCTGCATATATAATAAATATACAGTGTCACTCCTGCTGTATTGTAGAGGGATTGAAATCAAGGTACTGTTCTTGATGCTGACACAATCTTGTCTTTATGACTATTTCCTTTCCAGATTGTTCTTTTACTCTCCTCAATTTTATTATGTTGAGTGTTTTGCAGGAACTGAAAAAAAAACATCATATGGGAAAAGTATTCTGTACTTTTGGTTCTTTTGCCTCTTTCATCTTTAATTGAAATTGCTTCAAACAAAACCGAACATTTTGACTTTAGTACCACAAGAATTTTTGAGGGCACTGTATACACTCTCTCTCATACTGCAGACATTCATAAGCGTTCTTAATGGACACTCAAGGTTACTCAGCATTCTCTAAGCATGACTCAACTCTCACTCACCTCTTCAAAACAACCTTGTCCCTCTTTATTGGTTTTCTACTGCCTTTCAGTGCAGTCTTACATAACCACTTAGACATTCTTTCTTTTTCATTAGGCTGTGATGCAGTCAGTATTACAAACGTCGACGTCACATGTATATTGAACTGTGAAGAACATTATTCTTCATTTGGGATTTGCTTTCACATGCTTATGCATACACCTTTAATTGAAATTTGACTGCATTAGAACTTGCTTTTAAATTTCGTTATTTCCTATTGCGATTTTGATGATTTGTACTTTACTGCGGATTGTTCTGTGTATAATAGTATGTCACAGTGAGACGACTTTGATTGGTGTGACTGTTTGTTTGTTCCCAGGAGAAACGATCAAGTCGTCTCTCCAACCAGAGCCATGATTCCCAGGCCTCCAACAGCACTGCCTCAGCCAATTCTCATGACGAGAAACGTGGAGTCAACTTTGTTGGGGTGGAACTTAATGATAAACATGACCAGGAGCAGGAGGAAGAGGAACTTGATGAGATGGAGGTGGAATATATTGAGGTAATTTGTAAGATGGTACATTTGTATTGGTGGGAGTGCATTTTACGCATTTTTGCTGAATTACTTAAAAGCCACAATCTGACATTTTTGCTCTCTGAAACAGTAAAGAAGTTTTCATGCTTCTGTCCCTCTGTTCACCAGCCTACTGTGCACTTTGCTGAGGAGCCCATTATTCGGGGCGGTGATGAGGAAGACGAGGATGAAGATGATGATGACGAAGACGCTGCCAACAGGAGCGATGAAGAGTCGCAGCCACCTCCGTTCCCTGCCGAGAAACAGCGGCTCATCCGCAAAGACACGCCACACTACAAGAAGCACTTCAAGATCACTAAGCTGCCCAAGCCTGAGACAGTGGCTGCCCTTCTTCAAGGCTTCAGCCCTGATGGTCTGCCTCCATCTGCACGCACAACTGAGGAGGAGAGAGATGGGGGGGAGGAGGAGGAGGATGAAGAGGATGAGGAGGGTGTGACAGCCAACACCCCTCTACTGCAGAGACTGGAAGCGGCTGAGCTGGACGACAGCAGGCTGACTCAGGTGAACTCCTCGCTTCAGCCGGTGAAGGTAAGGCCAGGCCAGAGCAGAGCGAAGTGGGGTGTAGGGTCATACGGATGAAACTGATGAACCATGAGCGGCTTGCTGGCTAGATGAAGAATATTAGCTTGGGTTTGTATGAGGTTGTTGAGGGGTAAAATCAGTTGAGTGAGATAGGGCACACGCATCTGAGCTCCCATAAGGACTCACTGGAAGATCAGAGTTCTTAGTGCTTACTTAAAGCAGTTGTTTCATGAAAAATCATCAGATGGACATGGTTTTTAAAAAGGATCAGCCAAGACTTTTTTGGTATCCACAGTCTGGAGCAAAGCACGTTGCATAACTAAAAACAGCAGTAGCAGCCATCCTAAAGCCTGCTTTTTTTTTAAAATGTTTTTTAAGTTTATCCCATTAATCTTTGCCCCCCCCGCCCCCCCCCAAAAAATAGAATGTTATTGTAAAGTACTGCTTGCTGAATAAATCTGTTTAAATTGACTTTAAACTTATTTATCCATAATCTAATGACTGCTGTTATTGTTGCTATCTGATTATTTGGCACTTCGGGTGATGATGGGCTACGTCAGGTCCGTTTCAGACGGAATTTTGATGGGTTGGAATCAGTTTCGAACTTGATGACGTGGTACAGATTTGGCTAAGACAAAATTTTGACCAGTTCACTTTGGGTTCGGACTCATAACATGGTGCTATGGATTGGCTCAGGTCAGGCTTGGATGGAAAGTTTTTGGGCTGTATTTGTGTTCAGATTCCAAATTTCAGGTGGGAATAAAGCTTTAACCATCGTATTGTGTCCTACTGAATTATGAATTTTAAATTGTTACAGCCCCAATAAAATCTTTTTGAGATGACAACTCAGTGCTTTTTGAAGCGAGTGTTTGATAGTTTAGGTATGCAGTTTGCATGGTGCTAATAGGTGGGGTTTAAGCTTTCATACTTGCGTAACACTAAGAATCTATGTATCACGTTCACATCCCATTTAGTGTAACCTGCATCCAGTTTGCACTCTGTTGTTACTGGGTTGAAAGCATGTGTTTGTTCATTCCAGAGTCATTTACAGATTGATGTGGCTGTCTTGCCTGTATAGGAAGTCATGCATATAAGATTTGAGAAACAGCAGTGCAACAGGCTTGGCGACATACTGACTTGAAATCTCCGTATTTGAATGCCAGACAGGGATGTCAAATGACAAAGCCCCTTCCTTTTATTTTGGCCCATGTCTTTAGTTCCACACATGCTCCTCCCTCAACTCCTCACCTCACATGCTGTTTTTGAGCACTGCCTCTGCCCACCCCATGCTCTGCTTCTCATCATTATTTGCTGTTTCTTACTGCTGCCCAGAGAATCACACTGTCTTCTTTGCCAGCTTTTTTTCACGTCATGTGTGAGTGTGAGAGAGTGAAAGGCAGCTCGTTTCTCAAATCAAAGTTGATCACTGATAACATTTTAATTTTATAATCACACCAATGAATTAATTTGTGATGCTTAACTAAGCTGTTTTATTTTCTTCCCCCAGAGTTTTGTGATAAAACTCACTGGCCCCCTGATCCCATCTTTCTTGGTTACAAAGCTGGTTTATTAATATTACCAAACATATTGTTCACACTGATGTGAAAAATACAAACAATAGCTTTAGCTTCTAGGTTTAGATTTTATTTGAGCCTCCAGTTTTTTTTGTGTTAAGCAGGCAGTACAAAGTATTCACTTGTTATACTCAGAATATTTATTATACTCAAACAGTTGATTCCTACACAGTGTCCTATTATGTAACCTCTGGGCTAACTTTATGAAGGAGCCATAGCATTTCATGCAGAAGGAAGAGATTTGAATGACCACTGGAGAACAATTGAGGCCTTAAAACCCTTCAGTTTCTATCACCACCACTGTGAACAATTCTGATTTGGGAAGTTTCTCTAGAACAGAGCACTTCACATCAAACCACTCTGAATTACTTTGTTTACATCTTAATTTAATTGTGAAGACATTTTGAACAACTGGTAGAATTCCTCTTTAAGCTTAACTTGCCATCTGTGAGGTTTTTATTTATTTAAGCAGAAGTGTTCTCAAACCAGCTGGGATCAGGGACCCTGTGTGTATCTGTGTGTGTGGAGTCTCCATGGCTGAATGAAGTGATTCAGGAATGTTTTTAAAAACACTATTAGTTGTGTGAATGTGTGCTTGTATTTGATTTGTGTGTTTGTGTGTGCAGAGAAAGTGAGATATGTTGGTGTGTGGGAACATTGTGTCTGCTGTGTCCGTGCAGCGATGTTTACATTTGCTCGCTTGCCCTGTGATTGATGACTACACTGTTGAGGAGAAAAAAAAATCAGACCAAACTTACAGCAGTAATGTTACCTGCATAAGAAACTTTGATTCCAGTTACCAAAACTGATAGGATGAGAAACATCTTTCTTTAGGTTAATTTTTTAATAGTTGCTGTTTAGAGCTTAGGGATGTACTATGATAACCTTTCGAGGTGTCAGCACTTAAATACCGAAATCACTATTCCGCTATTCGTTTTGTTTCATAATTCATTAAAACCCCTGTTTTATGTTTTGACAAGACCAAGAAATGTGGCAAGTTTACTCATATTTATGACCAAATATGTATGGTGTTTTACACTTTTCTGTTCTGCTTCACCATGCCTTAACTTAAATGAGCTGCCAAGAAAACAATGCTAAAGCGTTGTCAGGGACTTAACCAAAAGGGTTAAGAGCGTGGCTGGCGCGGCTGTACCCCTACCTAGACTAACTACTCTAGCTGATGTAAGCTAGGTCTAGAAACAGTAAAAATATATTTCTCTGACAAATTGACATGTTGGCACATCATCCACTGATGGGAAAAGACCACCTGTAAGAAGATGGGAGTCTCCATCAGCAACCAGTGCTCCAGTTAGATCATCTGATTACTTCTTCATAATTTCAGTCTTTTGCCAAATCAAATAGCAGGATCAACAGTTTAATCTTAAATCGATGTAACTAATCATCAGTGCATGTCCTCTTTTTATTGATTAGAGAAAGCACTGGAAATACTTATGTATTAGGGGTGTAATGATATGCAACTTTGATGATACAGTAGATCCTGCCATTATGCCTGACGATATGACTGAAATACAGAATTAGAAAAGAAATGCTAACATAACTTGCACATTTGTTTATTTATATTTATTTATTTACTTACTTACTTACTTATTGGTAATTCCCAAAACAATTTGGTCATTCCCACTGTTATCCCAAAAAGACGGCAGTTCTTATTGAAGGGATAGCTGGCAAAAGCCAGTTTTTAGAAGACATAAAATAAATAAAAACTAATATAAACAAGGCAAGATCTATATTACATGTTGCACATGGGTGTTTTGTTTTTATAGGTCATCATGAGCAAAAATTGTGGATTATAAGGCTACAGCTTAATATTAAATGAAATGCATTACGAGTTTGTTTACAATCTGACATTATGTGTAAGAGGAGATTTTCCAACATGGCTCAATCACATGTGCAAGAGTGTATATGTTGGAGGGTCTGCCGAGTCCAAATCTACTGTTACAGAGTGTGTGTGTGTGTGTATATGTCTGTATGGGGTTTTATTTTCCACTCATTCATTCTTTTTTGGGTTTGTCCTGGAGGAAGTGAGTGCAGATGATTTATTTTTCATTTTTATTTTTTTGCCTCACTAATCCGCATGCCCTCTTGCTGGTTCCTGTCCTAACAGGGGGTGTCATTTGATCAAGTCAATAATCTGCTGATTGAGCCTGCTCGAATTGAGGAGGAAGAGGTCTGTACCTACTCTTTCCATCCAGCTCCGTCTCCCTCCACCTTTCTTTCTTTCTCTCTCCTACTCACTATTCGCCTGCCGTTAGAAAGCGGAGGGGTAGACATAACCCACCGGAAAATTCTCATTAATCCGAAGCCAATGATTAGGGAGCTACTCACCATCACTCAACCCCTAACCCGCTGATGTGGTGGAACCCTGTTCAGAGTCCACGTGTTTGGGAATTGTCATGGGACAGATATTTCCTAAACAGTATTTTGTTAAAACAAAATGTATTGTTTACAAATCACATCCAGATTTTAAAAAGCAGAATACTTTTTTTTAATTGAGGATAACATTTTTTCAGTTTTCAGTGTTTTAAAACATTTTTTGTTGTTTGTTTGCTTTGTTTTGTCCATATGCATGCTTCTAAAGTAAAGTATTATGATCTCTTATAGGCTTCCGCAGGTCATAGAACTGCCTTTATTGATTCCAATTCTTTATTGATTTCAATTCTTCAAGTCTACTGTTGTCTAGTCTAACTGCAAGCGTAAAAACAGTTGAGTTTTGTCACATTGGCAGATTTTTGCTTGAATTATTTACATGGGGATTGTAAGAGTAGAATTCTGGTCATACCTCTGTGTTGATCCATCTGAGAAGAATGAAAGAGGAAAGTGATAATACATACAGTACCGTGCCAAAGTCAGAGAGCACCTTTAACTTGTTTTAATTTACAGTCATTTTTTAAGAGGTATTTCTGAAGAGGTTAGATAGAAGATAATCCACTTGTATAAGGAGGACAAAAGTTAAAGAAAAAAATAGAGTTTACAAAACTGTCACCATTAGATAGTACTTAAAGGTTTAATCTTTGAAAGATTGGAGAAAATTAAGCTCCACTGTTCATCCTTCCAATATGAGAAGACAACTCAGCACTATGAGTCTGAAAGGATGTGTAGCTGTTAAGAAGCTGTTATTGAGTAACAAAAATAGACGAAATAGGAAACTTGCATAGAAAGTCGTAGAAGCTGCTGGTGTTCTCAGAACAATGGACTGACCACTGCAGAGCCCAGACCCCAGCATCACTGAAAGTGTTTGGGATTACTTGGATTGTGAGAAGCAGAAAATCCAATCAACTTCTAAGACTGAACTTTGGAGGTTTGGAAAAATATTGCTGCAGAAATCTTTGGAAAACTCAGAGCAAGTCTCCCCATAAAAATAGAAGCTGTAATAAAGGAAAGGAGTCAAGTCACTAAATACTAAAAAAAAAACACATATTTAGTTGTTGAGGCTTCCGTGCATTTTGTCGGTACACGTTCTGCCTTTGTAGCCGACTCTGGATTAGAAAATAAATCAATTAAGGGTGGTCTCAGAGTTTTGCATAGTACTGTGGAAACACCTCACTACCAATAACATTCAAACGAGCATTAAGATCAGGTCAGCTCCTAAGACAGTAATATACAGTACTGTGATGCTGCATGTATTAGATTTTCTAAAAGCAGTTTGTCTCATTCTGTCCCCGTGGAGGACTGTATTGTGTGTCGTATCTTACTTAAAAGAATGTGTGCACAAACTCAACACCAACAATGTTTTTACGAACTCTGAAATCTGGAAAAATGTTTTTGTTCAGGAAAAAATGCTGGAATTTTTGAATAACCTTTAGCCTCAAACCAGGGTTCCATTATACCTGTGGCTCGTTCGTCCTTTTCTATTTGTATCTGTCTTTCTAGCTCTCTTTCATCTCTGTTTGGCTTTTTTCCTCTTTGTCCCTGTTAGGCTCTGTGGCCCAGGAGCAAGCAGTGCAAAAGGACTGCTATATAAAGGTCTTTTGCAGTACCATCACATCTGTGTTTGTGCTGTCCCTGTCAAACATAACAGTAAATCGTCAGCATGTTAATTGCCCTAAATATAGTAAGATAAAGTCCAGTGGTGTTGTCTGATCTGTAACTCAAAGTTTTATTACAGTTTTAATACAGGCTTTTAGTCCTTGCAAAAATACAGATTCATAAATATACTACCTATTGTCTTCTGTGCTATTAGGGTATTTATCTTTTTTGTTTTGGGAGTATTTTATGTACTCTATGACTGTCCTGGTTAATTATTAGGCCAGAAAATCTTTAAAGGGACACTCTGGCAAAATTAAAATGATAACTATCACTACACCTGCTCTAAACATATCTACTCACATCCTACAAGGATACTGCAGCAGTCTATAGATTTTTTAATTTAGAAACTAGAAAATCCCCTTCTGATAATGTATCTTAAAGGTTGGAGGAAGTTTTGAAAAACGTTGGTTTAGATTTTTAGGGGGTGAGGAGTTTCAAAATGGGTTTTGTTATTTTTTTTAATTAAACTGGTAAATGCAGAAGTATTCTGGATAACGTTACTGCTAGGACATTGAATATCTTGCAATGGTAGATCTAGTTATTAACTTCAAACATCATGTCATTAAAAGTAGTAGATTACTCAAACCACAGAAGTGACTTGTCCAAAGATTAGCCTATAGATCAGTGGCTAGGCTAGCAGTTAGGATTGGTTGTTTCCATTCTGTTATGGTGTTGTGCATATTGGGTATTGTAGTGAGACGTATCGATTACCAAACATGTGAAAACAACATAAAATGGTAAATTCTGTTGAGTTGATGAGGCTGAGGGTTGTAATGCTGCTCTACAGAATACTGTACAACACAAATTACATTTAACTCTAGTTTTAGAGTGTTAAAATAGTCAGGGAGATTAAAATATTTAGAAGTTGCTAAGTAATTAGTGAAGGGCTCTACAGCCACAAGCACCACAACCCTATCGTTCAAAAGTTTAAAGATAAATGTAGAAGAAAATTCTGGTATCATGTTCATTACCATCTACCACTTCATGGGTTTCAAATAATTTGCAGGGACCTATAAAAAATTAGATAAAAGGAAAAAAAAAAAACTAGATGTGTCCAGGTGGAGGTGTAGAATAACATAAAGGATGAAGTTATAATAAAAATAAATACCCAGAATACCTTATATTTGAACAGTGGTGATCAAATCTTCAGGTAGGTAACTTGACAAGAAAATGAATATTGATTGAATCAACTATGTAATTATACCATATGAGTTATTATATAATCACTATTTGTTCGTCCAAAAAAAAAGAATTTTTAATACATCTGAAATATCTTTGTGTGTTTAGTTTACAATAATTCAGTTTCCATCATATCAGTTATTAGTATTGAATAAAAGTACACCAAATATTATGATTCCAAACTTTTGAACAGTAGGGTATTTTACTTTGTGTAAGTCCTTTATAATTTAACTGTCTGATTCATGACCATTCATCACAAGAAGATGATGTTGCGGACACAGAATTTATCAGTGACCATAGAGAGATTGACTTCAGTTGCTCTACAAGCCTGCTGTTGGATGAAGAGTGGGATATGTGCACTACACATGATTGCTGCCTGTAGGGATTTGATCTTCATTTGTCATGCTGGAGTTTGCATGGACACATTGCATAAACAAACTGAAGGTGTTTGTGAGCCTTGTCATAAAGGAATGTGGAAGACCTTCACTGGCCCAGAGCACTGTGCTCTTCTCCTTTTATCCCTTTCATATTCATCACTTCATTGTCTTTCTTATATATGTAGTTTGTGTCTAGTCTTGTCCAGTTGCACTTTGCATGACTTGCTTATGTAGGATTGCAAACGTCCAAACTGACCCTCAACAAATTTAGCTGATTTTCTCCCCTTTTCTCATTATTGTCATCTAATGTCCTTGTCAACACTGCTGTTGTGTTCGATGTTGTGACGAGTCAGCTTTGTGATTCATTAATCGAGTTAGCAGATCCCTTAATCCAGCAAATGTTTATCTACTGTATGTGCACAAGTGAATTTTTTTTTTGTGTAATGTTTTTGTTCAGGTTAATGTTCGTGAGCATATTAGATTGTTGTCTCACAGCAAATGTTGATCCAAAGAGGGGGAAATGGTGCATTAAAGTAAATTTGCTAGTCACAGAATCACATGATAAAACAGATGAATGTGGTTTAGTATATTCTAGAATGGTAGACTACAGAGTCAAATATGGACTCATTTGCTGTTCATATACCTGTTATCCACATCGATTGGATCAATATGAGTTTGGAGACTCAGGGTCCTGTCCCAACATCCATTGCTTCCTTTCCTTGATTATACAGCAATTCCACTTGTACATTTTCACTCTTACTTGTTGCTCTAATTATTTTTAAACACAGAGTTTTCTTTCCTGCAACAGTACCAACTACAAATCGTCTGCTATACACAAAAATCAGTTACCTATATAAATAACATGACTCAAATGTAGTGCTGCATCTAAATTAAGAGCACAAGCCATACATAATTATACTATGACATTTTGTTATAGGTGTAGCAACAGCAAATACAGCACATGTACGCTTACCTCATGTTGTTTACATCATAAAACTGCAGCATGAATTGGCTGAAATAAAAATGTTTAGGTGCCATATGATTTTGACTGAAAATGCCTTTCAAATTTTGGCTTAATTGTCAAATAGGGAAAGGAAACCTTTTTGGATGTTTAGACTGGACTGATTGTCTGACCTATGTCTTCTGTGCTTTGCAAATGAACATTGCATGAACAAATTCAAGGGCTCCATTGTTCATATTTAGCTTCAGCTTTCTTTTTTGAAGGCACCAAATTTAAGAATTTTTTTTCTCTATTTATAGTAAAGTTGTCAGCAGGAAGTCTTAGTAATCAGTCCCTTCTCCTGTCACCCCAGTTTTACTGGCGGTGACAAAAGATTTGATGGCAGCGTTGTATGTCTGACCCCTGTACTTTACTCTTAGCTGGTCCTGACCATCCTGAGACAGACTGGTGGATTAGGCATCAGCATAGCTGGAGGAAAAGGATCTACTCCGTACAAGGGAGACGACGAGGTAAAAATTTATTATAAAGCGAAGTATTGCAAGTAAAATTAAGGTTGTTATAAATTGCAAGCTGGTTTAATGCTGTGTTTGTGTCTGTAGGGGATCTTTATCTCCAGGGTGTCAGAAGAGGGCCCTGCTGCACGAGCTGGGGTCAAAGTGGGAGACAAATTACTTGAGGTAAATATGCTTCACAAGGTTTCTTTAAACCGTATTTCAGTTCCCTTGAGTCTATTATCAAAACAGGCAACATAAGAATATTCCTAGGTTATCAAGTTAACATAGGCCTGCTTTAATGTAATATGTTACTTTCTTTCACGGCTCCACAGCAGTACAACAGTTTGGTGAAAAATCGAAACATTTCTTAGAACTACAGTTTCAGATTTAGTGCATTAGCTGAGACATGCTTGGTGTCTGTATTTTGCTTCTTGAGTTTTGCACTGGAGCTATGAGGCTAATGTAGCTAACAAGTAATGAAAGCTTATAGCCCACTAACTAACACTGTGTAAACTGAACTCTTAAAGTCTGTTTAGGATTACTTAATAACTCGATGTGGTTAGCTACTTTTAGCTCTTGTGTGAAAGGACATTTCGTACACCAAATCTTTTATTTCCTAATCGATTTAATTTGCGGTAAGGACAAATTGGTGTAAATTTAATTTTCCTCTAAACTCTTGGTTTAACTAGATTATAGTTCTTTTTCTCTAACTTCTGTGGTGTTCGTCAGTATCTCCAAGTTGCCATTCAGGATGATTGACCTCTGCAAACACTGAACTGAGATTTATAACATATCTTGCAGTTCTGACTTCACGTCACCTGACCCCAGACCAGCATACCACAGTTTTAACTTCCCCTTCTCCTTCCTCGCTAGGTAAATGGCGTAGATCTGCATGGGGCAGAGCACCACACAGCGGTAGAGGCGTTGCGGAGCTCGGGAACAGCAGTGACCATGACTGTGCTTCGTGAGCGGATGGTTGAACCAGAGAACCCTATCACTACTACTCCTCTGAGGCCAGAGGACGATTACTTCCCCCGTGAGAGGAGGTCCAGCGGCCTTCCCTTCCTCCTGGAGTCTGACTCCACTGCTGTTAGCACGGGCCCCTGTCAGCGCTTAGCCACCTGCTTGGTCCGCAATGACAAGGGCTTAGGCTTCAGCATCGCTGGGGGCAAAGGCTCAACACCATATCGGACAGGAGACACAGTAAGCACAGAAACACTACTCACAGAGAGACTGGAATAATGTTTTTTGTGCAGAAAAAAACATTATATAATAGATGTAAATAATGATTTATACTAATCCTAATTTTGAGGTGACTGCTGTTCTGTTTTCTTATGACTACAAAAGGGTAATGAATTGAGGAAGTATGGGAACAGATGGAGAGTAGTGTGTATGGAGATACTGAGTAATTCAGCTAACTAAATCACAGCTTCTGCAGATTGTTTGTTCTGTTACTATGGTTCAGGTTTTGTGTACTGGTGCTGCCATTTGATATGCACCCATTACACTACAGCTGGCTCTACTGCTACATGAATAGTGTTAAAACACAGAAGAAAAATGTCTTTCTTTGCCTTTCCTATAAACATTTTTTCCAGACTTGTTTGCTTTTAACCAGTCTAATGTTACAAACATCAAAGTCTCTACCACCCTTTGTTGTTGCTAATTGCTGTTGAAAGGTTTTTTTGGGGGAATTTGGAAACAAAGAAGGAAATTAGTGGTCATATGACGCACATTAGAGAAAGGAAGTAAATGCTGTCTGTTGACAAAGGGAGCATAAAACCCGGAAACTGAAGTTTGTTAATGAAAAACAAGCTGTATATTCAAGAAGGTTTACGCATGGTTTGTGGAATGTGTTGCTTTCCAAGATGATACAGGAACTCACACAGTTGGGCCTTATCCTTACGTATCTGGATATTTTTTAAAAAACTTATTGGCCTCCTCATCCTCACGTAAACAACATTTTCGGTCACTGACAATTAAGGATTTTGAAAACACTCACCAGAGTGGTGATTTTTGAAAACTCTGTTTTCATTGTTTTTGCATGAATGGACAAAACACAGCTTTTTGAAAACTGTTAACTTAATCGTAATTGTTGCTGTTGGTTGTTGATTGTTTCAATGTATTGAACATGGAGAAGTCTGTCTGAAATAAACCTGAAGACTGGGTTGTTTCTGTGTGCTCAGCAGTTTGAGGGTAATTTGAGGGTGTTAACGTTCGTTATTTAATTTGGTTTACCTTTTTTGACTCTAGTGCAGAGGCATCTGAATGTATTGTGCTTAGTTCTCAGTTCAGTTTCAAATATCGAAAAAAGACCTCACTGATTCCAAAGTTGTGCTCATTAATGATGATTAACCAAAGTCACACTTGAAAATAAAATCCTAACTTCATAATTTGAATGAAGTGAAAAGCTAAAAAAAAAAACTTCACTTCCTGATCAGGACTGAGCCAGTGTTTTAAAGACAATGGTGTAGCCATGGCAGTGTTTTGTTGACTCTTATTTACTTTTAAAGCTTTTGTTTTCTGGCAGAAATTGGAGGTCTGCAAGTCAAAGCCTAGTGTGTTTGTAACACGCTGACATCATGTTACAATCTCTGTTTCAGCTTTGTAGCATTTTGCACAGTATGCATGCTCACAGTGGTGTTTGTGCAGCGTACATCACATTTTGTGTTTTATGACATGTTTTATCGCCCCCTATTGGGCTGGCATGTGAGTTTTAGTAGTTTTTGCTTTTTTATAGAGATTTATAAACCTTAACCCTTAGCATGTTTTCACCTTGCTACAATTGGTTCCAATAAAGCAAACTTTCACAGACCTCTTGCAAAGCAGGCTGTGCTGCTGTACGAATGTTCACCATTGCATTTTTCAAAACAAGTTTTCCTTGACTTTGAAGCCCTGGTCTAGTTGTGGAGCACTTACACAGCAACCTTTTCCAGTGTAGTGGCTGGCAGTGTCACCAAGGCAACAGAGATATGAATAGCAACCCGACACCTGATAGGGAACTAGTGTTAGAGCCTGAGTGGGAGACAAGTGTATTTTTGGCTCAACACAGAAGCCACATGCTGTACTGCCCTCTTGCTCTCTCTCACAAAAACATGTATATACACACATACGCACACTGTTCTACACTTGTAGTTAAAGGGTTGTAGAAGGAGACCTATGTGCTTAAACATGCACACATGCTCTTATGCTCTTTGCTGAGTAACTGTAAGTTCTTCCTCTCCCTGAATTGAGTGGCTGATGTGCTCTTGTGTTTGTTTTTAGAAACTAGTATGTTTTGCAAAGTTTTTCTTCTTGGAAATGGAAACATTTAGGCTTGTTAAGACTCCTGAATGACCTGTTATGCTGTGTGTTTAATTAGTTAAAGTTGCATTAAGTGTTTGTTTTAGTGACCATTGCGGTTAAGGCTAGGCACTTAATTGCATACAATCTTTTCTGGTCTGCTGCAGTGTCAGTAATGATTTTAGTGTTTTAAGGTCTTTAACATTAAGACTTGATTTCCCAGGGCATGAATTTAGCCTTGTCTTTAACCAAGCTGTAGTGCCAGTGATGAATCACCATTACAAATTATTTTTAGTCTAAGCCATAACTATGTCCCTTTTTTGTTTTAAGAATCTCTAATCAAATTAAATTAAAGCTCAGTCTAAAGCTATTCTGTACACACTTTCTAAGGCTTGTCATTTCAAACTTCCTTTACAAAATTACATTTAAGTGTTAAATAACATTGCAATATAAAAATGTTAAAAGACCTTATCAGAAAAGGATAACATTGATACAAAAATTTATATCACAGTAGTTTGATAAAATTGTGTAATAAGGGACATATACTAAGTGCTCAACTGTGTATTTCTTATGTTTGCTTTGCAGAGGAGTTTTTTTATATAATTTACTTAAGTTTGATGGCTTACAGTACCACATTTTCCATGGTTTTAGGATTCTGCTTCATACCTGGCTACAAAATCTGTTCATTTAAGTGGAATGTTTTTAGAAATACAGCAACACAGATTTCAAATGTGTGACTGTTTTCTGACTTTAATTTTGCAGTCTTGCTCAACTATTTAAATACACTACTATAGCTAAAAGTATGTGGATACCTGACCCCAGGGCACAGTCAAGCTGGAATAAGGAATTGCCTCATTCAGTGGCTAACTGTGGCCACAAAGCTTGCATTATATAATTGTCTAAAATGTCTTTGTATGCTGTGGCCTTAACATTACCCTTCACTGGAGCTAAGGGGCCGAGCTGAAAAACCAGCCTAGACCATTATCCCTCCTCCACCAAACATTACTGTTGCCAAAGTGCATTTCCAAAATTGTCCAACAGACTGCAAGATAGTGAAGCATGATTCTTCGCTCCAGAGAAAACGTTTCCACTGTTCCAGAGTCCAGTGGTGGCATGCTTTACACCACTCCAGCTGTCGCTTGGCATTGCACATATTAATCTTAGGCTTGTGTACAGCTGCGCAGCCATGGAAACCCATTTCATGAAGCTCCTGACATGTAGTTCTCATGCAGAAGTTGCCTCCAGAGGCAGTGTGGAACTGCAACAAGTGATGACAGAGGGTGTGCTACACCATTCAGCTCTTGGCGGCTCAGCTCGGAGAGTTTGCATGGTCTCCCGCTTTGTGGCCTAGCTGTTATTGTTCCTAGATGCTTCCATTTCACAGTAATATCAGTTGAACAGGGCAGATCTAACAGGGTAGAAATGTCACAGACTGACTTGTGGCAAAGGTCGCATCCTGTGACATTGCCATATTTAAAGTCACTGAGCTCTTGATTTTATACACCTGCTTGCAATGGGTGTGGATGAAATACTATAATTCGAAGGGGTGTCCACATACTTTTGGCCAAATAGTGTATTTTTCAGCCAGTGATCATTTGAAAGCCTGTCAGCTTGGTCTAAAAGTAATGTCTGCAGTTGGTTCTCACTTCTCTTCTTCCTCCTTCTCAGGGAATCTTCATCTCTCGCATTGCTGAGGGAGGGGCTGCTCACAGAGACAACATCCTCCATGTGGGAGACAGGGTCATTTCTGTGAGTGAGGCACATGGTCACACTGTCAATCTCTCTGTCTCCAAGACAAAACGGTGTCTGTTCTTTGAAATTGATAATGCAAATGAAGTCATGGAAATCATATCAGCTGAACTGAATGAAATTTCACTAATATAAATAGACTATGAGCAAGAGTCAGCAGAGTGTAGTGAATGTGCAGTCTTGTGATCATTCAGCTTACATATTGCATGGGCCAAGTACTAGACAGAAAACAGCAGTGTGTGTTTTAACTAGGTTGAGACCCTCATGCATGCCCTTAACTTTCTGCTTTATACCTCATCCTTTGCTGAGACTGACTATGCAGCTATTTTCTGAGTGTCTAATTATATGTAGCATTCCCCTTTTTGTTGTGTATTGTTTCCTTACAGTAAGGGAATCTGCATTAATAACTGTATGTGTGGATTCCAGCTGTTCTTTATCTCTCCTTGAAGACCACTATCTCTTTCGCGTTCTTGCTCTTTTACTGTCCTTGCATGGACACACTAATGCACTCCTTGCCTGCTTGGTGGTGGGTGTGGTGACGAGGGTGTTGTGGGCTGGGTGCTGTGGGTACACTGTCTATGGGTAACTAGTTACCTGGTTACTATAGCAGTAGCCTCTGTAAAACAGCCAATGGTAAGCACCGATACTGAATGGTCAGTGCTGGCCTCTGTAATTTATGAAAGCACCAAACGGAAATAGCCTGGTAGAAATACAATACAATACAAAGCTTGGACATCCCACATTTTATATCTTTCAGTTCAGTCATTGCCTTTGCATATTTAAGGCCACATTTTTAAAGAGTGATGCTCTTTTGTGTTTTAAATTGGCAAAGGCAAATCTTGGAGGATTTTTTTTTGTAATTAAAGCATAATTGTAGCAGGTTATTTGACCATATTAGTAGGATACATCAACAATTAAGTAAAGTTCCACATGGTTTTAAGTGTAATAAGATTTAGTTTAAAAGCTGAAATAATATTAATGATGATGATTCGTTAGAGCGGAGTTCGGACAGGGTTCCTGTAGCAGTTATGCTCTTCCCTGCTTGCACGCACAAGCTTCTTTCACTACGGCTGGCTGCATCTCTTCCTTTTCTTTCACTCTTTTTTCTAACCCTGAACGGACAAACCTCCTGCTCTTATGAATCCCTTTTGAGGACTGCATGCATGCTTATCACCAAAAGACCAGTTTTTAAAATGCTAGCTCTAATGATGTTACAGACATGAAAATGCATGATGGGACTCGAACCTTAGGTGTATTTGAATAAGCTTTAGTGGCCCTTCATATGACTCTGTATTTGGGAGTTTTGGAGACCCTGTAACACTCTTGAGTCTTGTCCCAACTAACAGTAATTTTATAAAGCAAGCAGGTCCACTTAAACAAAGCATATGTATTAGTCACTGAGACAAGTTGTCATTAGCTCTTAAGCATGAATCGCTGTCTCTACCCAGTCCAGCACTGCTGGCTGTTCCTGACTCTCCTCCCCTTCCATCCCCTCCTCTGGTGTGTGACTATTGCTCTAGATCAATGGTGTAGACATGACAGAAGCCAGACATGACCAGGCAGTAGCGCTGCTTACCGGCACCTCCCCCACCATCACCCTGCTGGTCGAGCGGGACCAGGCGAGCGCGGGCGGCTCTTCGCCCCGAACGCGCCCCCACTCACCCCCTCCTCCAGAGCCCTCTGACTCCCCCGAGCAAGAGGAGGCTGGAGACGAGCACCTGGGAAACCATCTCAGTTGCCCAATGGAGGACGAGTACCCCATAGAGGTGAGGCCCAGACTAAGATACTCCACAAACATTCAGCAAACACTATGCTGGTGAGCCAGAACCTTCATGACTTCCTGACATTTTCGAACTTCCCTCACCTTGCGTTTTCTGAATGATAGTTTTTATTAAGTGATACAGCCCATTAGGATTTATAGCTGTTTGTCGGCTGTGAAAGACTGAATGAGGCCAAAATGCTTATTACTGTCACCTCTTTTTGTTTGGTTCTCGATGTGAATGAATTCCAGAGAAAGTGGTGCACGGTATGAAGGCTTACTGTTGTGTTGCGTTGTGTTGTGTTAGGATAGTGTTTTTATGTCTAGGATAATGTTTTGAAACTTGTGTATGTTAATGATATCACTGGGCAGTGTTGACTGTGTTGTCTTATTTGATTAGATATGTGATGTGAACATAGAAAACTAGTTTAAAGATTCTCTTCAGAAGTAGCTTTTCCCTCTTTCTTTACAACCTTCACTTTCCACCAGTTTGCAGCCATTAGCACTACATTTAATTGAGTTAGTAACACTGATCCCAGGGTAGCTCAGAATATGCCAAATGCAGTAGAATATTTTATAATTTGTGTTTCATGATGTGTCCTGCTCTCACAGGAAGTGACATTGGTCAAAACAGGTGGCCCTCTGGGGCTGAGCATCGTGGGTGGGAGTGACCATGCCAGCCACCCATTTGGCATCAGTGAACCAGGCGTGTTCATTTCAAAGGTAACTTTGACAAAATTGTGTAGAACTTACCCAAGAAGCAAATGGCATGCATGTTCTGTGTATGGCTACAACACCCGTTAAGCTACAAGGCCATTTAAGTCAAGAACCCAACCTCCTCTGACCACTTTGTTTTTTCTGAGTAGGTCATCCCTAATGGTCTAGCCTGTCAGAGTGGGCTACGAGTGGGCGATCGGATACTAGAGGTGAACACCATTGATCTGCGACATGCCACGCACCAGGAGGCCGTGAAAGCTCTGCTCTCCAACAAGCAGGAGATCCGCCTGTTGGTCCGCAGAGACCCTTCACCCCCCGGCATGCAGGTACACACAGGCACTTATGTGGCAAATGTGCACATGCAGATCATTCACTCACTACTGTATACACAGACACAGCAGACTGACGTTGGCAGTGTTTTGAAATCCATAATGTGGAAGTAAAACTACGCTTCATTTGTTTAGGAAATTGTGATTCACAAACAGCCAGGAGAGAAGCTGGGAATCAGCATCAGAGGAGGTGCTAGAGGACATGCAGGCAACCCCTTTGACCCTACAGATGAGGGTATCTTCATCTCCAAGGTAATAATCAAATAACCATTCCAAAAAACATTTACAGACAGATTTTGGAATTCTTGAATAAGGAGGTAAAGAGATACAAATAATCTGAAAAGCATTTATTGAAATTAGACTAATATGGCTATGAATTTTGATTGAGTTGATTTGTTTATTTACTGTAATTGTAATTAATTTCAGATTATAGACTGTAGTACTTGAGTGAATTTTCAGTTTCAAAAATTTCATTTCAAAAGAGAAACTAGGACATCACTGAATTCACTCCTAAATATTAGTTGATTTGTGTTTACAGCAAATAAATTTCGTTTAGAAAATTTAGTTTTAAAATTTAGTTTTGATAATAATTATAATTTAATTCTTTTTCTAAGATTCTGACCTTTTTTATTCAATAAAGAAATCCTTCAGAAGACGAAGAGAATCTAGTCTTGTTTGTGTTTTAGCCAGTGCTTCCTAGGCTGGTATGAAGTACTTTAATTCTGTCTTTCTGTCCTGATTGTAGGTGAGCTCCAGTGGTGCTGCCGCACGAGATGGCCGCCTGAAGGTGGGCATGAGAATCCTAGAGGTGGGCAATCACAGTCTCCTGGGCATGACTCACACAGAAGCAGTCAGGGTTTTGCGTGCCACTGGAGATACGTTAGTCATGCTGGTGTGTGACGGCTTCGATCCCAGGAACGCGCCAGGCATTGAGGTAAACTACAGCAAACCTTAAATGACAGAATATACAAGAAAGCTACATAGTTTGGGGTAATCAGACACTAGAGATGCTAATTTTGGTAAACTCTTTTGATCAGTTCTTTGGAATCATCATTAGGCAGTGGTTAACTGTTAATTGACAAGCTTAAAAATCATCTCATTAATACAGATATTTCCAGTTCTGAAATCTGATTGGCTGAGCCATGTTCAAAGCCATTATGAAATACTTGATATACACTCGCTTATGAGCGCACACATCACTGAGATAAAAAGTGTTACTTGTATAGACCGTGGAACTGATAAGTGGGGTCAAGCATAAGCGTGTATGTGAAGAGAGCAGCTCAAAACCGAATTTAAACATAGCCTAAATAAAAACAGTTTAGGGCTGACAAATATTTGTTCATGATTATATGACTAAAAAACTAAAAAGTTGACAAAATGACAGGAAAATATAATAATGGACCCCTGAAAATTTATTATTCTAAAATTTTAAATTTCATTACTAGCCTTACTCATTACTAGCCCAAGTTAAAATGTACATCAATGCCATGATATTGGCTAGTTTTCAGTCACTGTATCACAGCAGCTCTCGACTTCTGTTGCCATCAACCAGGTCCTTTTTCCACACCTGTGTGATTTCCTTGCACTGCAGTTCATCACAATTTCTCTTGGAGAACATGGGCTAAATAGTTTTCTGCGTTAGTGCTTGTGGATGTTTTGCTTTTGATATGGCACATCATTGAAGTTGTGCTATCCTACCTTTGACAATTGGTCCTGAACACCACTGTTTTAGCTGCAAGATTTATTTTTTGGTAGGCCTATTGTTCCCTCATGTTTACCGCCCAAAAACGTTCTTTAACTTGAGTGGTAAACCCACCTATTCAAAAATGAACTGTTGTTTATTGGAAATAAATCAATTGGTTAATGGTTAATCATTAACATTTATATGTTCCAATGTGGTTTTCCTTTTCTTTGTTTGTATGCAGGCATCCCCAGGTGTGATCGCTAACCCATTTGCATCAGGGATTGTCCGAAAGAATAGCATGGAGAGCATCTCTTCAATAGACAGAGACCTGAGCCCAGAGGAGATGGACATTATGCAGAAGGTGAGCTTTTCATACATCACACTGTAGAACATGTCTTACGAAAATAAGAAGTAGCATTAAAAGGAACTATTGCTGTTTTCTTCTAAAGGAGGTTGAGATGGTGAGGGAGACGTCTCAGTGGGAGCGAGAGGAGATGGAGAAAGTGGTGAGTGAACTTTTGCTGGCTTATCATAGAAGACAAGTCTTCAAGGCAAAAACAGGAGTTATTTTCCAAATTCACAAGCTTCCCTTATGACGTTTGCTAATATGTGTGGGTTCTATCCTTCTCAATTTCTCTCTTTTCCCCTCTTTCCCTACCCCTCCCTGAATGAACTCTCATTCCTGTCTTTCCATATTCATTTTTCAATCCTGCCAACTTGTTTTCTTTTAACTCCCATTCACTTCCTTCATAACGTCCATCTCTTCGATTGCATTCGCACCATTCACTGCGTCGTTCATCCAAACCCCAACATCATGTAACACCTTTCCCCATTGATTGAATGGATGTGTGCTTGTGTCCATCGTTCATCCTTTTTTGGTCTATGACCTCCTCATGTGTGACTGGTCAACCCCTCTCCTCCTGCCCTTCCCCCTCCTCTCTTGGTGAAGGAGCGAATGCGCTTGGAGCGCGAGGAAGCTACTCGCCTGCTGGAGGAGGAAACTGAGGTGAGGCCTCATGCCCCTGCTGCTTTAGGACTGCCCCTGCCACCAGAGGGCAGCAGTGCGCTCTGGGCTTGGACATGCCACTGAGCATCAACCTGTTCCTCCTCTGAATCTCTGAGCTTGAGAAAGAACTTTAGCTTTAGTTATAATAGTATGTTACGGCGCTGATATGGTTTTTTTTATTTTATTTTTTGTACATCCTGAAAACTGACTTTCTAAACAATGTTTTAAATTATTTAATATTGTGCATTGTCCGCAGAGCTTGAGCACTGGACCTCTGAAACTGGACTACAAAACACTGGCAGCCCTTCCTACAACCAGTCTACAGAAAGTGAATCGGGTGAGTTGCAGCCTGTTATGCTTTCAGCTTTCCATGCTGAGCAAGAGTGCCGGCAAAGTCGCTTTAGAGTGACCTGAGCAGACAAAGCAGAAACCTTAAGCTGTACAGTCTGCACTGCATTCCATCAATTTGAGGTTGGCCTGTGACAGGTGACAGAATGACCATGAGTAACAGTCCCCAGTGACAGTAAATTGATTTAAGGCAAGCCATAGCAAGACACTATTATTACCAAGAAATGTGAAGTGAAGATATGTGAAGATAACAGAACTTTTAAACATGTTGTATGATCCTATATTAATACCATATTCGTTGTAACTAACAGATGAAATTGTTCTAAAATGCGGCTGTTGAGCTGCACTGGTTGAACATCCCTGGTGCTGGAGGCAGATATAATGGCAATACAGAAAAAACCCTTATGTTACAGTGCACATCCTCGGACCACAATGGCAGGTGGAATTAATTTACAGCCTGACTAATCTGAAAATTACATAACTGGTACAGATTTAAGGGTAATAAAAAAACAAGTTTTTTATTTTTAAATATATAATATGTTATCGTTTTAGGTGCATTTTACATGTTTTATTTGATGTTCTGTATTTAGATTCAGTTCAAGCTATATTGCTGTAATAGAATTGAGGGCGTGGTGACACCCAGCTTAGCTGTGACGTGAATGGTTTTCCTAACAACAGAAACATCTGATATTTTGGCCAGACCCTAAACTGACCACCGACAACTAACAGAGTGCACTTTCAAAATAGGTTTTGCCCTTTGCACTAGATGAAAGTAAAACTTGGATAGACCTGAAAAGTACATTCAGAAACTGGAAGGCCAGATTCCTGCACAGAATTTTCTTGCTTAAGCACACCTGATTCAACTCATCAGTTAATTGCTAGGTTTAGTTGGTGTGCTAGAGCAGGGAAATCACCAAACTGCTGGACTCTGGCCCTCAATTCCATACCCCTGCTATAAACCAATCGAGTGGTTCCCAACATAGTCCTCAAGGCTACTCACACAGCTACTCAACCCAACTTGCAATAGGGATGAAGGAAAAGTGTGGACTGTCTGGGGGGGCCCTGAGGACCAAGTTGGGAACCACTTAACTTATCTTGTCGAATGTGTTGACCACATTACACTCCCAGTTGAAATATATTATAGTTCCTGTATAGATGTAGTTCCTATATAGATGATTGTAGGTTACAGAATGTGCCTTTGTTCAATGATAGAAATGTGCAGAATGTTGCAGAAAATGCTTAATCGCTTAGTTTTTAAGTTGGACACAAGTATTTTGAAGAGCGCTCTTTGTGCTTTGAGTCTGTATTAAGGTTTTAAAATCAATTCTAAAAACAAAAGATAAACAGTGTATAAACAGAAATGTCTAGATTCCTGTTTTTATGAACTTATGAAATTGTTTTTGAGCAGCTTGAACAAGCAAAAAAGATTACTATAATTCAATTTTGAGGTAAAAGCAACAGAAGGTGCATATTTTTTAAGATCAAAGTCAAGCCTGTGATATAAGGGAATATTGCATTGTTACCCCTCCATTGTTATTTAATTGAAAAAAAAAATGTTGCTATTAAAAATTGTCTTGGATAGAGCTTAGAAGGACACACACCCATGGATCGACTGAATCTTGAAAAGAAATTAAAGACTGTGTCATAGGATAATTGTAAAGTATCAGTGCCACACTTGAAGTTGTTTTGTGATTCCACTCTGAGTCATGGAATTATCAGACTTATTTTTGAATGCTTATGGGTGCTTTTCATAGTAGCCCACATACCACCTTGCCCCCTAAATAAATAAAATTGTTTTGTAGTTCTGTCTGTTTCCCTGTAACACCAGCTCATGATGGTGAAGTGGGCAGCTATTAAAAAAGCTATTTTCAGTTAAAATTCCAGGCAAGTCATTGTTGCATCCTAAAAATTTAAAAACTTTTTTTTTTGGTGCATCTTACACAACCACAAATTAAAGGAAAGATTGAATACTCTGTCTTATTTTACCTCTGACAATCTGGCAACAAAGCTACAGTTCCTTGTGCTCAAAAAGAAAAAAGAAAACTGGACAGGGGAATTGGGGTGACAGCTGACGAGGACTCAGAGGTTATTTTAAAAAAAGTATGTCTGCGGCTGATTGGTCATGCTGCTCATGGGTGGGCCTTTGGGGAGTAAGGTTCCAGTCATAGAGTTTAATCTCCTCCAAGCATTTTACATGTGTCCAGCAACCTGAAGCTGATACCTTCTTAACGTGAGTGCCTATGCTTTCTCTGTTGAAGCTCTCTTTTCTTCCTTTAATTTCTGCTGTATGATCTTTGTTCTCTGTCAGTTTTTCCTCTATAGTCAATGCTGACCTCTGGCAGTTTTTTATTTGATTGTGAAAGTGAAAGTGTGAAGTGGTTTAAGTCTTTCATTTGATTTTATTGTGATTTGAAGAATTTACTGGTTGTTCTTATTTTAAATATCAGATAAATTTGAGACTCCTTGGTTTCATTTGGTGAGAGGTGTGACTTTGATTTAGTATTAATATGTAGTAATTTCACCTGTGTTTATGCTGTTAAGGCATAGCTTTAAATTCAACAAAAGGTTTAGTAGTCTTATCTGCGCACATGGTACAGTTCTGTACATTTGGCTGTTTGAAGGTTCTTTTAATAGTGCTTATATAAAAAGTTATTGCTACATAAATCAAGTGTCTGAGTTTTAAAATGGTATTCTCCTGTTTGTATATTGAGCAGGTCTTTTCTGGGAGTGTTTAACCTACATAGAGCTTGCAGCTGTTTGAAAAGATATGCATGGGGAGGTGGAGGGAGCAGAGAAACGCTATCGTACGCTTAGCCATGCTCCTGACTCTGTACTTGTGACACTTCTTTTTAGGATTGCCTCTGTGACAGTTGACGTTTGTATGGGTAACTTGTGCCTGAGGACTGAGGTACTTTAGACGGAGACATTGATTTTCCAAGGGCTCAGCTGGTCCCCCTTTACTTTTGAATACAGGGGTTCAACATTACTGCCTCACTGATTGCTGTTTACAGGCTGTTTCCCATTAAGTATGTCACATAGGCCTTTGAGTAATTGTGAATATCTGTACTTGGATAAATGTAGTGATTTACAGTCGTGCAGCCATGAGGAGATGAGAGAGACGAGAGTGCAGCTGTCTTGAGTCAGAGGTCTTTGGGTTACATGCCACTCCACTGACCTTGTTCTCGCAAGCTAGAAAACCAACCCCCCATGCATTACTGTTATCTAGGAAACTATTTTCAGTATGGCAGTATGGCCCAGACTCAATTTGGATGTCTTATATTTAGCATCTATACAAATCATAGAGTTGGAAGCTGTTAGTCTTGAACCTGTTTAACTATGAGCAGCAGATGGGTAACTGAAGTGGTATTTAATGAGTTTAAATGCTCAGTTTTATCTCATTGAGGCAATTTTTGACCCATAGTGAGGTTTGCTCTGTGGAATTTGTGTCCTCGAGACATTTTGGCATAATGGGATAGATGTGTGTAGTTTAATTTGTTTGACTGCTGTGATCATTTTCAAGGTGTTGTGGAATGTATCATTGGACTCCAATGTAAAATGTACAGCACTGTACAAAAGTCTTAAGCCACCTGAGGAAACTGTTGGAAACTTATATGGCCACTAAATGTGTTTTTGCTTCAATAACATTAATTAACTTTATAGCGAATAAAAATAAACATTAATGGAGTGTAAGGTAACACGAGTTTCTTGTTTTTAAAGAATTATTTTCTTGGAAGTTAATTTCTTTGTTTCAAATTCTTGAGCTGGTTGCAAGAGCGCAGGTTTGGTTCTTCTTCTTTCTGATGCAGCTCCAGCCATTGCATAGATTTGTTCAGTTCACACAAACTGAAATACCACAAATACCTATACAAAGACTGGGCTATTTTTCCAGGAGTGATTTGGAAATAGTTAACACTGGCATAAAAATCGTAGTTTATCATAGCGGTGCAACAAAATGAAAGTTCTTGGCCGAAACCAAAACTCTGGATACATTATGTCAAAAACAAACAAACAAAAAAAGTATTTTTCTTCATTGTTTGTGAAAAATAAAAAACAAAAGTCAAATGTTAATGAGAATAGCCCTTTTAGTATTGATTATCCTTTCGGTAGGACATAATTATTACAGTATGCACAATATGTGCCTACAAAATTCAGCATCCTCTGTAAAGATATAAAATAAATGAATAAGTCCATTATTTTTAGTTACACCTTTTAGAATTTTTTATAATTTTACTGTGGCTACAGATGGTGTTGGCATGCTAGGAGGGATTTTTCTTTCTGCTTTCTGTGTGTTGCTGCATATTTCGCGAGATGTTACGTTTTCAAGTGGTATAAAATCTGTAATAGAGAAGTTCTTGGGTGTTGTGCCCCTCTTGACACTTGAAACCCCTCTTGAAACTTTTGTTTATTTGGATTTAGATTCATTCCATTGTTAGCGTTTTTCCTGCCCAGGGGGCCTAAGACTTTTGCACAGAATAATGAGACTTCTTTTCCTTTTCTGTTAGTTTCCTCTCCTTTGTTTGCAACTGTATTACTTTGCTCTATCACATCTCCTCCATTGTTCCTTGTCATCGTTTTTGTGTATTTTCTTTTCATTCCTCTCTCTCACTCTTCAGTTCTGTCCTTCCTCTGCTGAATCCTACCCCATGGAGACTGCTCTTCAGGCCAGGCAGACTGGCTCTATAGAACACCATGGCTTTGAGAAAGCTCATGCCACATTATGTCATGTAGATGCTCCTGTCCTTCCCTCGTCCTCACCCTGCCCAGTTACGAGCTCAGCGGCTCCCAAACAGTCGCCAGTCATGCAGGACCCTGTTCCCGCACCAGTTGCACAGGAAATACAAGAGGAGGAGCGTTTAGTGGACTCTCAGCCCATCTGTTTCAGTGAAAATCCCTTCCTGATAGCTAATCGCAAGAGCAAGGGCCGTCCTCGTGAGGAGTGCATCCTTTCAGGGCCGCCCACAGGCTATGGCAGGCAGGGGCAGCTTCAGACCTGGTTGTATAACAAGGCAAGCGGCCTTGGACAGTGGTGTTTTTGGATCAGCATGGCATGTCACTGCAAGTTGCAAAATATCATTCCTAACAAAATTCCTGCACATGTATAGAAAAATGAACAAATTATTCTAATTTGTTCATTTTGGAAAAAATAAACAATTCAGGAGAAAAATAAATTCCTTGCTTTTTAAAACCACTCTTAGTTATGAATGTTGTTAACAATTGACAGTGGAGCACCACAAGGGTGAAGTACACTCAAACTAACACTTTTGTCGAAAGCATGTTTTGTGTTGCTTTTCAATTCTTTATTTGTAAGTCTTAAAGGTCTGTTAAGAACAGATATCCTGCTTTGCAATATTCTATACAATCAAATGCCGTTGTCCAACGTTGATTAGTTTCAGGTGATATGCGGCTTTTCATTTTGTCAAAGCAGAGTTTGGAAGCTGTTGCTATTTGAAAATTCCTATTAAGAGACTGGAAATGCTTGAAATGTGAAGTCGACAGGTGGTGTTGAAGAATGGATGAAAGGCCCCTCACCCTCTAAATTTACCAGCAACCCTTTAGAAAGGATCCTGAAGGCACCAGTAATATATCACTAGTCCAGTTTTGCCAAATCATAAATTCATTCTAAATTCTCATCCCTGATTTTTTTTAAATGGCTGGAAAACTTGAGTCATTCTAAAAATAAGTGCATTTTGAAAGTTATGAATTCATCATTTGTCCTTGTGATAAATTATCTCACAATATGCTTTTCTGAGAATATTGTGGATGTTTAGTGCAGTGCAGTGGAGGATGTAAAATGTGTAATACAAATCATTGTAGTCATAGTTTTGATAGTATATTTAAATGTGCCACTAATCGTTCTTTTTTGTCTGTTCTGAATGATCAAACCTCAGAAAAAATAATGGAGAAAATTTGTTTAAGAATGGGCATTTTGTATTTTTGCCATGTTGCCCAGCTCTAGTGGCAGATCACTCGAATACTACTTGTGATAATGTTTAATGTAGCTGAAATAACGATTAATGAAAATAACAATATAAATGCTTGTTTTACTGGGTGGTTTCCAAATTTCCAGGTAGCCTCTAAGTGTTGAGGGAGCACTAAGAATCATCAAAATGAATCAACAAACTTTCGGTATTTATAGACTAACAGAATTACATGATATTACAACTATCACTAGACTGTAGTTTTACAGTGTTCAGTAGGAAACTCACTTAAAGAGAGTGTTTGGTCTCATTTTGTTGGCCTAATTGTGCTAGCTTGCTGAGATGGATCTTGTAGCCCAACTTTACCACAAATGTTAGTACTTTGTGTTTGAGTCTGCATGGCCTAGTGAATGTCACCAGGGGTGTTTTGTAGCTATATGTTTACTCATACTTCATAATCTTTCTCTGCAGGCTCCATCTACTGAGGCCCAAAGGATTGACAGTCCTGTCCGAGAGCCACTTTACTCCCCCACTTCTCACCTGGTGAGTCCATTACTTGTCCCAAGTACACTATTCACAGATACAAATCATCACATTTGTATTCGGTCATGCTGGGTGATTTTCTTTTTCCCCCCATTTATAGTGTGGATTTTGGCTAGTATGTGTGCCTAGTTTAGTTCATGTGCTATTTGTGTTGAGTGACACACTCTCTTTGCTAGCCTTGGTTCATTTTACATCATTATGTCACACCTGTCCTATTTTCGGTGTATAGGAAAAAGTGCTAAAGGGATAAAGCAATCTCACCCTCCTTTTGCTCACCTCATGCCTTCATGACACCTCCTTTCCTAGCCATCCCATCATCAGTCCTCATCCTCAGCCCCTCTGGCCCTGGGCAGAGAGACACGATTCGTAAGTGGGCTGCCCAAGCACGACCTGCTACTTACGGCTTCCACTGCTGGTCCTCAGCGCACTTAGTGAGACTCACAGGCATGCAAGTGTGCCTTGGTGCATTGACAGAGTGCTTTGTTGCCATATGAAGTCTCTCACAGTTACATGAGGCTTTACTCCGTGATTACATATAATGACATACAGCGTCAGTTGCATTTTAGCATATAATGAAATTTGGGGCCAGAGTGGATTATATTGACTGCATCAGATAAGGTTAGGGTGATTTTGACTGCAGTGGGAACTTGACCGGAGCTGTAACTGTGATTTAGGTCCTTTAATTCCTTTTGGGCTCTGCTAGCTTTGACTGCTCTTGCCATTGTGTATAGATTTAGATGGTGCCTGCTTAATGCTGGCATGTTGCTTAGGGCAAAAGTCTGCTTAGCCTTTTAGAAAGTAGCTCCCTCTCAGGAACATATTCATATATTCCCATTTCACAGCATGCTTAATTTTGCTCTGTTCCAGGCAAGCATTCATTTCACCTCCCATGCGACTGCCAAGGACCATTCCTCAGTGAGTGTTCATAAAAAGCTTGATAGCTTTGTTTAATGACGTTGACCAAATTATGATAGATGACCTGGCTAGCAAAGATGTTGGCTGTTGTCATGCTAGTGAACGACTTGGTTGTTTACTTACATTTTTTCCTCCACTTTTTAGACCAAGCCTGGTGCCATCCAGCCCATCTCCCGGGTGCGGCCTGCTATGTCACCAGCCAGTCAGGATGGCCACAGTAGTCCCAACCCTTTCCAGCATGGCCCCTCCCCCATCAACTCCCAGACCACTGTAAGATCCCTCACCACTGTCTAAAGCACATTCCACACATGCTGCCCCCCTATTTCCAGCATCTACCAAATTATATACAAGATGCATCTGAGACAAGTCATGTATCATTTGTCAAATCATGCCACTGTATCGTATATGATAAGGTGTGGTCCAAGTTGTGCCTGTGAAGTCTTCAGACGTCATATTTCTCCTCTCAGAGCTAAGTAGTGAGTTACTGAGAGATGACGCCTCAAAAGTACTAATGATCTGCGAGGTTTAAAGGAAATCTCATTTACTCTGCAGCTGTATCGACTTCATGTTAAATAGAATTCTGTGTGCCTATTTTTACGATTGACACATCTCTTACTTTTTGTTTTTCTTTTGTACCGAAGCCATATCCAATCAGTCAGGGTTTGCACTCATATTACCTCAGGGTTTTAGTGCTGTTGCAATTTCGGCACAGCTCCATCTTCCATGCGTTCACTCGTTCCACAGTCCTCCCTCTCTCGATTTCTCTCTCTCCACTTCCATCCCTCTATCCGTACAAGGCGAGTCACCTGCATGCTCTCTACCCATGCGTTACCCAGCTTTGTTCTGCCTTTGCTACTCTGTCTCTCATTTTCTGTTCCATCCTTGTTCTTGTCCTCTGTTCGTTCCTCTACCCCTTCTCTCCTTGCTTCTCGATCCCCTGGCCCCCCTTCTGTGCAGCCTCGTGCCCCTTCCCCTGACACTTTCGACGAATTCCCCATCAATATCAAGCAGGCATATAAGGCCTTCGCAGCTGTGCCCCACACCTTGGCCGTGCTGGAGCCTCCGCAGGTATGGTAGATGGTCCTTGAGGTTGTGAGCATGTCATGGTCTTCTTGGCATCAAGTCCCCTGGTCAGCAGGCCTTTACATTGGAGCAAATCCTTTGGGAGCTTGTCTTCTGTTGGTCAGTGTTTTTGCATGAGTCAATCACATTGGTGAAGTGTCCAGTTGTGGCTCTTTTCTCTGGAGTAACAGTGTCCATCTGTCATTCGTGCTGTGTTTGGTTGGTCCTGTTTCAGCATTTGATGGTGTGCAGAGTTCTTAACAAAGCCATCTCATCTCAAATAAATCAATGAGTGTTTTCAGCTCCTTGCCTGCTGACTTCTCTCCCCCTTCCACTACTGGTTTGTGATTTTTGTGTTCTTTTTAAAAATTGTTGTTGTTTTCTTACCTTCTGCTCTTTGCCTGTTCTGTGCTTTTTTAGGATCTGTATGGCCAGAGGAACAATATCCACCCAAAGCAGCCATCACCAGAGGTATGTCTGTTTGTTTAATTCGAAGACGTCTTGCAATACTGTAGCTTTGTACTCATTATGATAAAGGAATGTTCCTTGATCATGGTTCCAGTGGCCATTGTACTCATTGTATGGTGTACGCTGGAGAGCTGGATAAAAGAAGTTTCAGTTCAGTTTTCTCCCTTGCCCTGAATAGACATTCAGCTAAGACACATTTGATGTACAAAGTTCACTTGCTTAGTTTTGCACTGTAGTCACTAGGCTAATGTAACTAACAAGCAAACTTGTACTCCACCAATAATTAGCACCATGCAAACTGCAAATAGACTTACTAATGTGGTTTCTGACACATTCTTATCTATAAAAATGGACAAAAGTATGCAGTAGTGTTAGCCGTCTTAAAACCTGAATTTTGAGCCCATTTTTATAGATGTGCATATGCTTTTTTTGCTAAGCTATTGCTTTAAGCAGTGTCCATATGATATTGATAGTGTTTGTAATGGCTCTTTCAGCCTGAGCTGTGTAATGAGGTGTTTGTAGAGGAGGTTGATGGCAAGGGTCGTGGCCTCCTCACCCCTCGCCCCTCCTTATCGTCTGACCGGCGCGAGTACAGGAGTCTGGCAGCTGTGCCACGCCTGTCTCGCCCCTCTCTGGAGTCGAAGGTACCCGGCCCTGCATGGGCCAGTGCTCAGCACTTAGCCTGTGCCCTCTCTCTCCCACCCTTACTGGGTGACATGCTATTTTTGCTTTGGTGGAGGGGCAGAGGTTCATGTCGCTTCAAACAACTGTCCATGCAGCTGTGGGATATTTCTTGGTTGGGAACGCTCTGATTAAATCAGTCTGTAAGCGGAATCTTTTTTAAGCAGGAAAATATGGTATTGGATTAGAGGCCAACATAATCTTTTTTTCTTTTCCACAAACATTTTAAGCACTCTTCGAATTTGCATGAAGTCAGTTGTCATGTTTGTTATGTATGTATGTATGTCTGATGACTATTATCACTGCGATTAAACTGTCTTACTATCTTGGCAAAATTCTGTCATGGACTTGTGTTGGTGTACTTCTGTTTGAACTTCTGTTGGTGTATTATGTGCTCAATTGTATGTTCAATGAAATTCATAACAAACTGCTGTGTTTTTGAGCTTTGGACACATTTAAAAAGATCTGTGTTGACCCACAGTCTGAAGGCTCCAAAAATGGCTTTTTCTCCCACAGACCCCCTCGCCATGCGGGAGAGGCAGCCCAGAACAGCGTTCATTTAGAGACCGGCAGAAGTACTTTGAAATTGATGTGAAGCAGCAGACGCCAGATAGCAAGCCCAAACCTCGTGTTTCACTCGTGGGGGAGGATGATCTAAAGAAAATGAAGGAGGAGGAGGGTTAGTGTCTCTTCTCTTTTGGTCTTGCTCTAAGAAATTTTGTCCACAAATTTATTAAGGTTTAATAAGGTACTGTATTTTAACAACTGTCTGTGTGAAGACTTACTCAGGTGGCTTATGTTTTCTTATGTTCACTCTCAGCAAAGAGAATTGAGCAGAGAGCACGAGACTATTTGCTGGATGAGGATGAGGATGAGGAAGAGGAGGATTTGGCTAAGCAAGTGGCAGCTATGAAGGCCCAAGGCAAGGTGATCCTGGATGGAGTGGAATACAAGGTGGAGTCTGTTGGCAGCCACGCTTCTACTCCGCCCAGGCAGTGTGCCACGCCTCCAAGCTACAGTGCCACACCTCCCAGCTACTGCGGCAGCTCAGGGTACGCTGCTTCTCCTGGCTGTGTTACTTATGCCCTACTTACTTTATCACTTACCATTTTACTGTTTCATATCACTGTAATACCTTGCTAGTGCTCAACTTACATGTGTTTGTAAAGAGCAAATCAGAATCACATCCTGTACTGTAATTCTTGCAGAATTTAAATACAAGCATGATTGGATAAAAATCAATTAGTAAATTACAGACATTTATGTTTTAGTTCCCAGAAATCATTAGTAGAGAAATCAGTGCAGCACTACTGGCATTATCCACCCAAAACTTTTTTGTTCTTTGTTGTTGTGTTGTTGTTGTTGTTGTTGTTGTTATGTAATGCTGATCTGTCCTATACAAATTTATTATAACGGAACAGTAAGGCTGGGCGATAAATTGATAACGATAATTATCGCGATAACTCTTCCTCGATAGAGCAATAAGAAATGTTCGATAAATGTTCGATATAATCTCACACTTCCACGTTGTAGCGACAGCCCTGGTGGCGTTTTCTTCTGCAAGGAAAGCAACACTACTTTGCTGTCACCAGGAGAGGGTGCACTTCCGAGTTTTTCGACATGATTAGAGAGGGGGGGGGCCAAATATACTTTAGCAACACCTGAAACGTGGAGTTATACATTTCCTGTTTGAGTGGAGCGATCAGCGATCTGTCCTCCTGTGACCGAGTGTGAGTGACGAGATAAGTGGTGTAACTATACTGTCCTACAGCGAACTCACCTCTTTCCTAACATCCTAACCAGCTTTAGCAGCGTTAAATCACGTCTGCTCCTAACAACTAAAGCGCTGTTACAGTGTTCAAAAGGTCATATTTAAGTATTAGTGCATTCCCGAGCAAAGAAAGTGAAAGAAAGAAGTGGATTCATGCCAGTTACAGCCCTGATTTAAACAAAAGCAAACTGAGGAAGCTGTGAGGCATTGGAAAGCGGGAGAGCGCTAGCTTTCCAGGCTAGCTGTTTTTAGCAGCTGGCTAACTTGAAGCAGCGCTCTGGCACACAGACGATACGGCGAATTGATGATACTGTAGATCAAATAAGATACAAAAACACCGCTTTCAGTTTAAACATACCTAAAAGGAGGATTCTGTTTGTCTGGTGTTGATATATTGCGATTCACGCCTTAAACTACTACGATAGCATAGAGAAACCCAGTCGTCTGCTAGCTGGTGTTTGAATACTGTGATATGCTCTGACATGGATGTGGTAGGAGTGATGGCAGTAAGGCGGCGTGAACCATCACTGACCTACCGAGCCAGCTAATGTTTGCTGTTCGTACTAAGCTGACATTGTTGAGAAACTAAACAGTTCAGCACTGTTGTTGGCCACTTGTTTAGCATTTGTAACGGGATAGCCTAGCAAAAATAATCTTTTCTTTCTTATATTTTGATTTACAAAAACTGCGGCCATGCTTTTCCAGCTGATAAAAACAGCTCACCAGAAACTTTCTCTCACTTTCCCATGACAGATTTGTGAAATGTTCCACTGTTTGGTGAGTGTTTGTCGTGTTCCGACCATAAAGGATAGTTTAAAACAGCAACCACCCAGGAGCAAAAATCAGCCTTCAAACTTCAAAGAATGATTTGACATTTATCGCGATATGTATCGATATCGAATCAATATGAATTTTGTTTATCGTGATAACGTTTTTGGCCATATCACCCAGCTCTACGGAACAGTGGTTGCCAATCCTCCTCCTGGAAATCTCTGCACAGGGCCTTAACCCTACATGGATAAGGCCCTGTGAAAAAATACAGATTGTGGTGGACACTGGTATAATTGGGGCAGATAACTTTGTAGGATGTGCAGGACCATGGTCTGTAGATCGTGGACAGTCTCACTGACACTTCAAGTGAGCCCTGGCTAAGAGGGTAGCACACAAACATTTGTTAAAATGCTCAGATGTAGAACAAATACTGAAATAAAATGAAATTAATTTAACATTTTAACAATCTGATCTCAAAATCCAATCAGCACATTCTTATTACTCTGTGTCAGATTTTGCTTAATATTTGCAGCCAGTATAATTTTACTGTTTGTCACTTCCTTCTGATTAATGTTTTTTCCCCTCCTTCCCAGACCTTCCTCTGTAGATGGTAAGGGTGATTCCCAGCGCAATTCTATGGAGGACAGCTTTAGACTGGAGCAGAGACCCAACTCCATGACAGGGTAACTAAAGGAACATTATAGTTTAGTTCTGTGTTTTTGCCGGTTTGTTGGCTTATTTGAAATGACCATTGTATCTGTACAGTCTGATTCCTGTCTATTCTGCTGAGTCTGCGGCTCCCATCCGGACAGCCAAGGCTGAACGCAGGCACCAGGAGCGGCTGCGCATGCAGAGCCCAGAGCTTGCAGTGGCTACAGACAGGGAGCTCTCACCTGCGGAGAAAAGAGCCCTGGAGGCTGAGAAGAGAGCCATGTGGAGAGCAGCCAGGTAGAGCAAACTCCATCCTGCGATCCAGAGATGTCTAGCTCAAACATATCAGCTCCACTAGTCGCAAAGTCCCTGTTCCAGTGTTAATTTTCCCTTCTGACTCAGATTGTCTGTCATAGTGTTTTACCTTCCATCTATACCCTCTTCTTCTCTTTCCCTTTCTCTGTTTGTTCCTGTATTTTGTCTCTCCTCTCCTGCTCCCGTTCTCTGTCTGGTTGGCTGCTCCCAAGGCCTTATGGTCTAGAGGAGGACGTTAGGCAGTATGAGCAAGACCTGGCCAAGAGGCTCTACCAGTCGCGTGTGAGGGCGTCGTTAGGCAGCGCTGCATACCCTCCCGCTTCCTGCTCCTCTTCCTCTTCCTCTCAGCCCAGGTCTGCCCTGCCCAGCCACAGTGCATTGTCAGGGCTGAGCTCTGGTGCTTTCAAGCTGCTTTGAATGCTTGTAGGAGTTGTAGTGTGTGAGGACAGTAGCTTATAGTAAATCTGTAAAAGTGCCTGGGGTGCAGAAAGATGTGCATTTTTAAATATTTGTTTATTTATTTTGAACGTTGCTAGTTTTGAAATTTGCAGTGGGTGAATGTGCTGTGCTGGGGCTTAAAGGCACATCTGCACGTGTGCAGTTTTTCAGTTGCACCTTTTATCTCTGCATTCCTTCGTCCCTCTCGATTTGTCTCTTTCGTCTTCTGTCTCTGTATGTATAGGTTCATTATCTGCCCTGTTTTGTCTTTTGCTTTATTCCCACTTTTTTGCCTGCTTTGTCGGCTTCTCTTTTTCTTTGGTCTTCATCTAACATCATATTAACTTTCTAGTCCACACAGATCTGTTAAACAGTTACCTTGGGACATTTAGCTGACATATTCTTGATCTCACAGCTGTTCTTTCTCTCTCGTTCTCTCTCTCAGCCTTCATTGTATTTGATATTCTCTAAGAAGGGCTGCACAATTATTCAAAATAATAATTTGGTAAAGCAAATCGTTTCCACAGTGCACTGTCTCACTGTTTTGGTACAGTATCAATAGAAACTGCGTTAATTCTGCAGTCTTTCCTCTGCCTTGTGCCTGTCTGTTTCACATTCTTTAACTTCACCCTTCCATCTCCCTCTCTCTGTCTTTTGGTTTCTCTTTCTTTCTGCTTAAACTTTATTTTTCTCTCTGTTCCTCTAGGATGAAATCTCTAGAGCAGGATGCACTCAAGGCTCAGATGGTCATTGCTAAGTCTAAGGAGGGCAGAAAGCGGGGGACCCTAGACCAGTTAGCAGAGTCTCCCTCTCCTGCTCCCACGCCCTCACCCACCCCTATGGAAGGTGAGCCCACTGTCCCCGTTAACACAAAGGCAGCATTGGCTTAGTGTCAGTATGAGGCTTTCAAAGTCTCAAAGTCTCTGTCTTGTTTTTCCTCTTGAACAGATGTCAGTCCACGGGCTGTGACGTCACCGGGTCGACTGGTATGAGGTTTTTTTTATTCTTTTTTATTTATTTGTGTATTAGTTTGTTAATTCACAACTGGCTTGGCTGCTTTAAGTTCTAAATTTCCCACAGCTGTTTATAGAGTATTGTTTTATTACAGTTCATCTTTTCTTGCCCATTAAGTACGAGCACTTAGAAATCCATTCTTTAATCTTCCATTCATCATCCAAAGCAAGCAAAACAAAATCCCATTCACATGAACTGCTTCCTCGTCCTTTTTCTTGTTCATTTCTGTCCTCTCCTCATCCCTCTCCTTTATTTTTTTTCCTCTCTCTGTCTCTCTGTCTGTTTTCTTCCTCTCTGTTTTCTCCCTCTCTCACTCTTTCTGTTTTCTCCCTCTCCCCCTCTCTCTCTCTCTCTCTCCCTCTCCCTCTCCCTCTCCCTCTCCCTCTCTCTCTCTCTCTCTCTCTCTCTCTCTCTCTCTCTCTCACCCTCTCTATTTTCTCCCTCTCTCTCTGTTTTCTACCTCTCTCTCTGTCTTTCTTGTTTTTGTTTTTTTTCCCCTCCATCTCCCTCTCTCCACCTCTTTTTGCTACCCTTTAGTCCCTGTCAGAAAAGAAGTTTGACTACCGACAGTTCGCTGCCATTCCTTCTTCCAAACCCGTATACGACATTCAGGTATTGCCTGCATGCCAAGTTCCCAGGAACCCGACCCTCCTTAACCTCTCACCTCAGTCCTGTCCACCTGGCTTTCCCTGTTACCTCTCTCCCTCCTGGCCTTGCTCATAACTAGCAATGTCAATGGTAACTGGGCCTCCTGCTCCTCTCTGTAAAACAACTTGAACGTTCAGCTCAACTTCAGGTTTTGATCTTTAGCTGGTTGCCATTTGGATTCCAAAACTAGTGGCGCATCTTACTGCTCATCTTTTAATCTCACTTAATTTCCACACCCACTTGGGAAATTCTGTGTGCCTCATCTTCCCAGTGTGAGAATGTCAAGGGGCTTTTTAACATTTGAACTGGTTGAGGACTTGGTCCACTAGCTTTATGGTACTCCAAAACATGGGATATTACACTAACGTCAGGATGGAAAAACTAAACTGACCCTCTCCTCCACTCAAAGCCTTTCCTCCCACTCACCCTCAGCAACTTTCACTAGTCAGCCATGTAATCTGAGTCCATTAAGCATTAAGATGTGTTGGAAATATAAACTAACCTTGTCTTGAGTTACACTGTGTTTATCTCAAGTCTGAATTCCTGTACTTGCAACTTTTCATCAAAAGGAAAAAGCATTCAGTGTCATGTAATTGGAATTTGGATCGGGAAGTTTTGATCTATCTTTTATCTCCTTATGCTGCAGAAAGATTTATTTTTATTTTTATTTTTTTTTTAAATTCACCAGTGTCCTGGAACTTTCACTTCATCTTTTACATGATGTATAGCCGTATAGCTACGTTGTCAGACGTTACGTGGAACAAAATTCTTTACTTAGAAAGCATGTGAACACTCCAATTGATGACATTTTAGCAACAGCTGATTTCCATCTTGCGAGGAGCACTTGTATGTGACACTCGGTGCAAATTATGGAGGCAGAAATTGTTCCATCCCTCACATCACAAAGGTTGGCCTGGAATCTGAGTATAATTAAGTTGGACCGCTTGCAGTTTTTGATCGAACCAACAGGACAGACAGTTAAACAGGCCTGAAAGGGAACATGGGAAGCTAGGAGCAAGGGAAGGTCGCCCTTTTCGGTGTTGGTGTGTTGTGTCTTTGTGGATGTTTGGATGAACATTGGTCATGTGTGGCGGGGTAACGTATTGGGTATTGTTCTAATATCCTTTTATGTGATACTGCACCAAAGACCACCAAATTGAGGCTCTGTAAGGTTTAGGAAGCATCAGATGTAATGCAACGAACAAGCTTCAGCCACTACTGGTTGATGACACTACTAGGTGTTATTAGCACGCATGAGCCAGTTAATGCCTTTTACCAAGGTAAGCTATGCAGATGCAGGATGTCTTGTGGTGGTACAATAACTTTCTCATTGTACATCAAGACTGCTAATTTATGCTTATTGGAATTAAACTCAGAGAGAACAAGAAATCCTTGGTGAAACAGCTTATCTGCTGTTTGGTGGCCTTAAAGTGTGCCTTGATATATTTTTTTTTTGTCGAGTGCTGTTTTTGATGTCTGTAATTGATGGAGTCTCAGTGTTAAGCAATGCCTTCACCCTGACAGCTATAACTTGGCTAGTAGATGGGCTAGAGCTTTGTGCTTAGTCAAGCACATGGTCAGGACAGGAGTACCGCACAGTTCAAAAACAGTAAATCCTTTGGAGGGTGAAGGACTGTATGGCATGCTAATCCTTTTTGAGTGTTTTGTGTGGACCCTGTCATGAACTGTTTTGCTGATTTCACAACCAATCCTCTGTATTAACTCTTGTGGTGAGATGATATGCTAGGTGTTTTTTTTGGTTTATTTTTTTATTTTTTATTTGCATGTTTCAGGTTGACACTGAGTCAGTCCCCAGTGCAGATGGACAAATCTAACCCCTCCCTCTAACGGTTAACCTCTGATACCAGAATAGGAGTTTGTGGAGATGTGGGATTGAAAAAGAAGATTCTTTTCATTGTTCACTTTGGCAGGAAATGGAGTTACACCTGGGTTTTGTTGCTGGTTTCTGAACCACTGTTTTCCATCCTCTGAATGCAGTCTTTGTCGATGGCCCTGTATTCTCAAACTAAAATGATGATGGCCTTTACTGTGTGCTGGCAGAGCACACAAGTTAATCCCTCTCTCACACTCTTTCTTCTCTTGCAGTCTCCTGGTGCCACAGATGACCTTCACTTCATCGATGATGCCTCCAATAACCCAGGTAAGCTGCTGAATGATTAGCTTGAATGATTCATCAGATCAAGACTTAAGGTATCGTTGGATGGGCAAAATGTTATGAACATGCCTGTTGTCTACTACTTTGCTGACAATTGCTGTCCCCTTGACACAGGCAGTTTCCTAGGATAGGTGGTCTTCTGATATTGGTAGGAGTTTGGAATGTGTTTACGCTTGTGTGAGCGCATGTTTGGGTCTTAAATGAATGCATATTCTCTGGAGCTTTTAACATGTCTGAGGCAGGTAGCTGGAAGCTTGCTCATGTATAATCTGAAATCTGGTCTGAAAATCAGTGAAAATTGAGAAAATAGAAAATGTTTAACATTCCTTTTTATTTTTTTAATGTACGCACAACATGAAATCTACAATGATTAAACTCAGTCTAAACCACTGCCATCCAGTTCTTGTCCTCAGGTAGCAGAGCATGGGACACAACTCACACAGGAACAATGAGAGGATGTCCCTGATATAAAATATATACAAACATATATATATATATATATATATATATATATATATATATATATATATATACACAGTGGGGTGCGAAAGTTTGGGCAGCCTTGTTAATTTTCCTGATTTACCTTTATAAATCATTGATTGTTTGGATAAAAAAATTCCGTTAAATATATCATATAGGGGACAAACACAGTGATACTTGAGAAGTGAAACGAAGTTTATATGAAATACAGAAAGTGTGCAATAATTGTCTAAACAAAATTAGGCAGGTGCATAAATTTGGGCACCAAAAAAAAAACCTTAACTCAATATTTAGTAGATCCTCCTTTCGCAGAAATAACAGCCTCTAAACGCTTCCTATAGCTTCTAATGAGAGTCTGGATTGTGGCTGAAGGTATTTTAGACCATTCTTCTTTACAAAACATCTCTAGTTCATTCAGGTTTGATGGTTTCCGAGCATGGACAGCTCTCTTTAAGTGACACCACAGATTTTCAATAATATTCAGGTCTGGGGACTGAGATGGCCATTCCAGAACGTTGTACTTGTTCCTCTGCATGAATACCTTAGTAGATTTTGAGCAGTGTTTAGGGTCGTTGTCTCGTTGGAAGATCCAGCCCCGGCGCAGCTTCAGCTTTGTCACTGATTCCTGGACACTGATCTCCAGAATCTGCTGATATTGATTGGAATCCATGCGTCCCTCAACTTTAACAAGATTCCCAGTCCCTGTACTGGCCACACAGCCCCACAGCATGATGGAACCACCACCAAATTTTACTGTAGGTAGCAGGTGTTTTTCTTGGAGTGCTGTGTTCTTTTTCCTCCATGCATAACGACCCTTATTATGCCCAAATAACTCTATTTTAGGTTCATCAGTCCACAGCACCTTATTCCAAAATGAAGCTGGCTTGTCCAAATGTGCTTTAGCATACCTCAAGCGGCTCTGTTTGTGATGTGGGCAGAGAAAAGGCTTCCTCTGCATCACTCTCCCATACAGCATCTCCTTGTGTTAAGTGCGCCGAATAGTTGAACGATGCACAGTGACTCCATCAGCAGCAAGATCATGTTGTAGGTCTTTGGTGCTGGTCTGTGGGTTGACGCTGACTGTTCTCAACATCCTTCGCTTCTGTTTATTCGAGATTTTTCTTGGTCTGCCACTTCGAGCCTTGACTTGAACTGTGCCTGTGGTCTTCCATTTTCTCACAATGTTTCTCACAGTGGAGACTGAAAGCTGAAATCTCTGAGATAGCTTTCTGTATCCTTCCCCTAAACCATGACGGTGAACAATCTTTGTTTTCAGGTCATTTGAAAGTTGTTTTGAGACTCCCATGCTGCGACTCTTCAGAGAAGATGCAAAGAGGAGAAAAACTTACAATTGCCCCCCTTAAATACCCTTTCTCATAATTGGAGTCACCTGTGTATGGAGGTCAAGGGTCACTGAACTTACCAAACCAAATTTGAGTTCCAATAATTAGTTCTAAAGGTTTTGAAATCAATAAAATGACAACAGTGCCCAAATTTATGCACCTGCCTACTTTTGTTTAACCAATTATTGCACACTTTCTGTAAATCATATAAACTTCATTTCACTTCTCAAATATCACTGTGTTTGTCCCCTATATGATATATTTCACGGAGTTTTTTTATCCAAACAATCAATGATTTATAAAGGTAAATCAGGAAAATTAACAAGGCTGCCCAAACTTTCGCACCCCACTGTATATATTCAATTTATTCAGACTTTTCCTCAAAACCATACTGTAGCTGTACAAACAAAGCATATGTCAGTTTTATTGTGCTGAAATTTGCAGTTCTCCTTTTTGGTCAAAAATACATTTTCTAGTGTTTGACGCAGCGTCTTTTGACAAATCATATTTTGTTAAAAGCTAATCAGGTTCAAACTACGTAGAATTGTATTGTATTGAGTTAATTTATTAAACTTTAGCAAGTTGGCGCTAGTCCCTCAGTCTGTTACAATGAACCCCATCTTTGTTTATCTGATGTAATATTTCCTGTTTATTGTAATATTTCTGCTCATGCCACTTTTGACTGTTCACAAACAATAGGTGATTTGTAGCAGAGATTTGTAGGTATTAATCTTGCTAAAACATAGCAAATTTTTTAACATACATATATGTATATATATATATATATATATATATATTATAAACAAAATAGGTTTGCAGTACCGCATTGACAGATTTGACTATTTGCAGTGTTCATGTTCCTTTGACATATTTCAAACTGCCTGTTATGTAGCTCCTTGTGCTGGTAGTCAAATGGGACTGGAATTTCAGCCCAGTAGACGTCAGTAAGGTTAACTAATCTGCATAACAGTATTGATGCTTCAGAACCAGAAATGTATATAACACTTATATAACATGATCACTTATTACACATCACTTAATATTGTGTTTCCATGTTGTTTGTGCATGACTAACCTCAGCTGGAGTGTGAATAGTAAATCTAATCATTAGTCAACACCATTTAATATCTGCACGGTGTGCAGTGCTGCTTGTTAGCCAGACCAGGTTCACTAAGATTCTGTGAGGTTTTTGAGACTTTACAAATGTATCTTTGCAGAATGTCAGTGAGTATGTGATTCATAGTATGAACTGTTACTTTCACCAGAGCTCAGACTATAGTATGCTTGCTGAGGGGTTTTAGCTTAATGTGGAATTTCTCCATAACTCAACCGTTGAGATGTAAACAAAAGTGATTCAGGGTGGTTTGTGTAATGGTACATTATAGAGAAAACAACTCGGATTTATTTACAGTACAGTGGTGGTGATGGGAACCGAGGTTGTGATGTCTACAATGCAAATAAAGCAATTTTATTTACTATGTGAAATAACTAATGAACCTATACATGTCTTATGAGGTTTATATGTAATACTTATGATGGTGAAATAGTGATACTACAAAGAATTTTGTACTATTTTGCCTTTCAACGCTCTACATGTACCGCTTCATCATGAATGGATTTGAAAAAAAAACTTTTAGGCCAAAATTTGATCTCAAAACTACTGTAAAACAGTGTCTCAGGCATCAGGTGGTGGGTTCGTAACCTTCTTAATGTAGTAACTTTCTGTGAGAGAGCTATTAGAGACAGTAAACTCTGGTTCCAGTCACCACCACTGTAAACAAATTGACTCAGGTCTTAAGAACACTGCATTTCACATCAAAGCACTCTGGATGATTTTATTTACATCTTACCCATTTATTAACACAGAAATTTAGAAAAATTGGTGGAATTCCCATTTAAAATGGCACCAGGCTCCTGGTCTTTATTCTTCAATATCTGCTTTATTCTTCAATGATAACTTCTACTGTATCTACCTTTGTATTTTTGAGCATCCAAGCACAACCGTTTCCAGCTTGCTTTTGTTGGGTAATAATCACAGTTGTTGGGTGTTGATTTTTTTGGGGGGTATACAGTAGAATGCCAAGGTTCGCGCACCCCTGGTCAAATTACATGTTCTGTTGATTTTGTAAGTGAAAAAAATTAACACTCTTCAGAGAACACACTAAAAACTGGCAAGTTCTGCATTTTAGTGCACAATTTGTATTTATTTGCAGTTTAACGTTGGGGGAGGGGGGGGACAATGTGCCATATGTTTTGCACAGACTACATTCTATGTTTTATTCATTTGTTTTTCCTCAATGTTAAACTCAGCAAATAAACAGTAATTGTGCATTAAAACATGCAGCAGTGTGTCTCCGTAGAGGATGTGTAACTTATTTTCAGTTAGAAAATCAACAAAACATCATTTGACCAGGGGCGCCCAAACTTTTGCACGACTGTATCTTGGTGTTGTTTGTATGGTAACATTCTTTCTGGCCTCAGGGTGTGTGTGTGTGTGTGTGTGTGTGTGTGTGTGTGTGTGTGTGTGCTCAGCAGGGTGTTCAGCGTGCTTGTGAAGAGGTGGATGGGTCTGAAGCCTACAGTTGACACACAAATCTCTCATTCGCCTGATACTGACATGTTTCGTTTCACTCTTTAGCTTCCTACATAGATGCGGAGGTGCCGGTAGCTCCTGTTGCGGCCACGTCTGCTCTGGAGGAGATGGCTCTGTACAGCAACAAGCGCAAACTACGACAAGGCAGGCGCAGTCTGGAGACGCCTGTTCCCACATAACCACATCCACACACGTTTACACACACACACACATACATTCACACATGATGCAGATAAGGAGGGTAGTTCACATTAAGTAGCGATGCTAAGAGGTATAAACTAAACTAAAATAACATGCATTCACAGACATTCAACCACTCTATCTACAGTGCCGACCATCAGAATGACAGGTTAAGAAAACACTACAGCTTCTTGTCTCCTGCACACCAGTCTGGCCTTTACAGTTGGCATAGATGCAGAGGACTCATCCTCCTCTCTAGCAGATGGTGGGGGTGACAAACATCATAAAAGACAATGTTTTATTTTATTTTTTTCTCTTTTTCTTCAGTTTGCGTTTTAGAAGCTGAATTATTTTTAAAAGATGCTGTTTGGGGTTCCTTTTTAATACTTCAGTTTTAAATCTCTACTGATTTTAATGTTAAAAAAAGTTGGAAATTAAAAAAAAAGATGTAAATGAATTCATTTTTTTTCAATAGCATTTCTCCCAGGAGATCATTTGAAAAGAGAGAATTCTGCTACCTTCACTGCCCCATACAGACTAGAATGGTTCTGGTCCTACTTTCTGATTTTAAAACATACATCTTGAACATCTTATGCGTAACTTATTACTGTAATATACCCTCTCATTTGTGGGCAGCCTTCCATTTGCAGCTTCTATTAGCATTTTACAAGATGATTAACTCATCATCATTGGGGATACAAATACCATGCACCTATGAGGCATAAAGCTTTATATCAACTTCATGACCATATCAAGTGCAAAATAACAATTTCATCCAGTATTTTCTATCTGTAAAGTGATACAAATGAATGTACTTTTGTTTTCTGACATTTAAAGCAATTTAAAAACTGTCCACATAAATATCATTTATATGTAGCATCTGCCAGGTCTCCTTTAAGCATGAGCTTAAACCAAACTAAATGGCTCTCTAGTTGATCTGAATCAGGACTAAGAGAATAAAGCCTACAAAAGACATCAATTTTATAACTTTGGGGAAAAAAAACTTGGATAAAAATTAACTTGCTCTTCAAGTGCTCTGGTTACCTAATCATGAATTCTCAAAGGTCCTCACTTTTGGGTTTCTTTACTTCTTGGACCATGTTGGCATGTTATTTTCTGGAACATTCCTGTCACCTTGACTATATATACATGCTAAAAAAACAACCCTTAGACATACACTTTGTCCAAATGTGCAAATCCAATCTCAGACCCTGAACTTTAATGCGCCATTCTTAAGAGAAGGTCCATCTTGTCAGCTCCATCAAAATATGGTACCATGCTTTCTATTTATGTAAAACTGGGGTTGGGGGACTTTGTTCATTTGGTTTTTGTTTCCATGTAAATCATGCTCATATCTTTTGTCTCTGGGGCGGCTACTCCAGACAGGCATGTGAAGGTAGTAGATTATATTTTGACTATACTACTCTTTTTTTTCTTTTCTCTTTTCAATCTAATTTTTGATTTAATTTAAATCTGAAGCCACTGAAATTCTTATCGTTGTGTGAATAATGTACAAAATGCTGAGAGAAGCAAAAATCCAAGTTGAAACTGAGCCAGTCTGCACCACGACCATTTGCCTGGGTGGCATACGTAATTCAGACATGGTCTAGACTGGGTGCTCCTTGCATGTATATTGGCTTTGTTGCAAATTTTCTTCCAATCCTGGGTTAAGAAAAGAGAATCTTTTCATCCCTCTCTAGAACACATTATTTGACCGTTCTCAAACCCATTCAAATGTTCTATTACTTAAGCTGCCATCTACACTGTGGTCAGATGACTGCCATGTCAAACAATGTTTTTAATTTAACTTTACTAATCTTAGCTTTTCGTGTTGCTCTTGCTAACTGAAATTCAGTTTTGGATGATAACACTTTGGGAATGGCTGATCATTTATTGTATTTTTTTAAGGACAAGTAGAAATCACGTTTTCATGTAATTATTGGGATTCACTACATTTTTGCAGCAGGACAGTTGTTTTGGTCTCTCCCTTTTTGGTTGTTGTTCTTGATTTCGGGTGGGGGGAGGGGGCTTTTTTGCTAAATGGGTCGAGGGAGGGGCTGAAGGCTGGGGATAGAGCTCATTCAGGACTGTAACTAGTGAATTTGTACAACCAAAGAAGTCTATTTTGTGGTTCAGGAATAATAAAGTTTACTTTTCATTTAACGAGCCGAGGTCCCAAAATGTGTCTTTTCTTGTATAATTGTGTCCAGGACAACTTTTCTGTAGGTATTAATCGTGAGCCAGCTAGGATATGTAGTTGACAGTTTGGGGGGGTACAAATGAAGGTAGAAGTGGGACAATGAGTTGGGATGATGCTATATATCAACATTTTGTGGTTCCAGAAAGTGTGCAAGAGCCTGAATTAGACAAGAGCTTTGCCACACCTAACCACCTGGGGGCACTGAAATACTTTAATTTCTTGGTCTTTTTTTTTGTTTTGTTTTTTTTTGTTTGTTTGTTTTTTTGTTTTGTTTTGGGTTTTTTTTGTAATTGCCACATTAATAATGTCTTTTTGACAGTGTGACTACATAGACCTTTAACAATGTGGAGAATGTAAGAGGTCCTAACTTTGTAAGTTCTGAAGCTACTGGGGTGGAAAATACTTGGTTAATTTGTACTTTTTTGTACTCTGGAGGCTACTAGTGGCAGATCGAGTATATATATATATATATTAAATATATTTAATATAAAGATTTGCCACTATCCATAAAAAAACATAAAAGTGGCCGTTTCCATGATTGTGCAGAGCTTTAATGAGGTACAGTAGTGTAAAACCTTGTTCACCACCAAGAACCTTCAAATTCTACTACCTGAATTAAGTCGAAATGTGAATTTCAGAGATAAGCATGCCTCTTATATGTGTAGTTGAATGTTACAAAACTCATTTTCACATTGATAATCATTGCAGATGTTTGTGTAGCCAAGGAGGTAAGTTATTTGCACAAGGGAGTACGTAATATTGTTTAGGTGACGGAGACGATGGCAGGCAGTTTGGACTTGTTTGTTCCAGCTCCCATGTTCCTCCTGGAATCAGGACTGTGAGGAACTGGCCTGCTGCCTCTCTGCAAAGGTAAACACACACACAGCTCAGTATGTCACTGCTTTCCTGCAGCTCAAACTATCAGGACTCTTTTAGTCTACTGTTATATGTTGCTTCATCAACACAATAAACTGTACTTTTCAAGCTATTTTGAACCAGAGGTGAAGAATGTCCTGTAAATTATTTTTTCCATGCAGTTCAGTGAGCTAAAAATACAAATTCTTTCAACTAGCTATAACTGTTTATGCACCCCTGTGTGTATGTGCTTGTCTCTCTCACCCTCAGTAAAGTCCTGTTGTGTGCATTGTAAAAGGACACAGCACTGGGACTCTCTGCAAGCAGCTCTGTACGAAGACGCTCAAACTGCTCCTGTTCATCAGCTTCCTGTACATTAATACCATACTGTTATTTTCAGCTAGAACAGACTCAGGCTGTGTATTGTATTGCAGAAACCTCATCTCTAAAATGGTAACCTTTTTTGAAGTGCAAAGAAGTAAGCACAACCTCTGCAGCAAACCATTTTAAAAATCACTGGAGAAAAAATGTTAATTGTGGCATGTGTGAAACTTTGGACAGCCTTTCAGTTGTAAAGTCTTAAAAGTTAACTCATTATGCCTTGATTGTTGTGTTAGGACTGGTTAGGCAAGTCTAATTTCTCTTAATTTTATCTTTCACATACCCAAGGACTCTTTACAATAAGGAAGACATAAAAAAGAGAAAAATAATTAAAGTTTGGTGGACTTTGTTGGAGGACAGGGTGAAGCAGTCGTGGAGAGATAGAGGAAGAGAATTCTATAGTTTAGGGGCCAAAACAACAAATGATCTGCCCCCAACAGTGGAACATTTAAAGGCAGGGACTGCCAAGGGGCCCACATCAGAGGACCAGCAGGAGTATAGAAGAGAAGGAGGTGGTAGACCATTTAGGGCTTTCAAGAGAAGGACCTTAAAGTGGATGTGTGAAGAAATGGGTAACCAGAGCAACAGATCGATGATAGAGTACAACAACAAGATGATACCTATGACTTAAAGCAGTTAGCTGGATTAGTAATACCAATAGCTGAAAGATGAGATAGGAGAATAATAGTTGATTTATAGTACTGAAAGCAGTGCTTAAATCTAAAAGAAAAAAGACTACTTGGGGTAGCAGCAGTGGTGGATGAAGTACACAAATCATGTACTTGAGTTAAAGTAGAGATACCCAAGGCAAAATATTACTCCAGTAAAAGTAGAAACTCCCTTTAGACCTTCACTTGAGTAAAAGTACAAAGGTATTTGCTTTCAAATGTACTTAAGTATCGAAAGTAAAAGTACTGAAAGATTAATTAATGGACTTAAATGTCCTGTTTATAATTTTTGTAAGACTCTTGCTTCACTTAGGTGAAAACACTTTAGTGTCACTCTTGGTAAACCAATCTTCTTAATAGAATGTCATTAATTAGTCTGATGTGTATTAAAATTATCATGAGCACAAAACACTGAAGGCAAACAATTTCCATTAGGTAGAACCAAGTGGCTCTGAAATAACTTTTTGCAAATAAGTTTGTTTAAGACTCATTTGCAACTTAGTTACAAGTTTGTTTAATAAAAACTTGCTTTTAAACAGGTTCACAAATGAGTTTTCCTTTACTGTAGTGCATCGTAAGTATCTGTTCATGAACATAAACTAGCCAAAACAAATTTACTATAACATGAACTAGTGTTTGTATAATTTTCAGAAAAAAGACACGTCAGTCACAACTGCATATGTGTACATATTTCTATATTGTGGTCTATTTACACACAGTTGTTAGTTCCATCATTTATGAAGGAATAGACTCTCCCAAAATTTGATGCTGCAGCGCTGACGTTGAACCGTATGCTTGCACTGGGTATGTATGTCCAACAGGTCAAAACAAGCTCGAAACAAAGTGTGCGCTGTACCCTGATTGGTGTTCTTGCTTCGTGCTCCTTTCGTTTTGACATGTTACGTTTTTATACACACACAAGCCAAAAGGAACAACATTTTACATAATGTAGTGGAGTGTAAGATATTTGACTTTGAAATGTAGTGGAGTGAAAGTAAAAAGTCACCCAAAATGGAAATACTTCAGTAAAGTACAGATACACAAAAAAAGTACTTAAATACAGTAACGAATTACATTCAGTTAGTTACTGTCCATCACTGGGTAGCAGAATCACTAGCTGTAAGAACATGACTGAAAACACCTAACATTGCCGTCTCAGTACTGTGCTGAGTGCAAAAGCCAGACTGAAACATATCAAAAAGATTATCAGCTCGATAAAGTTGTAGCTGAGAGGCTACTGCTAGCCAACTGGCAGCTTTTAATGCACAAACCTTGGGAGTTAACCAGTGGCAGGAACAACCGGAGAGAACCATCTAATCTTTAATGGAGCAGTCTGATCTACAAACCCCATTTCCAGAAAAGTTGGAACATTTTATGTAAAAAAATTTTTAACCTTATTTAACAGACAAAAGTACAAAAAAAAAACTTTTAATGTTTTGACTTGACCAAATTGATTGTATTATAAATATAAACAAAGTTTGAATTTGATGCCTGCAACATACTCAAAAAAAAAGTTGGGATGGGGCAAAATAAGTGTGAAACGTTTACAGAATATTTAAATTACACTGTTTTGAAACAGGTAACAGGTGAGAGTATCATGATTGGGTAGAAAAGGAGCATCCATCAAAGACTTTGCAAGCAAAGGGCTTGGCTCACCACTTTGTGCCAAACTTTGTGAGAGAATTGTCAAACAGTTCAAGAAGAACATTTCTCCACACAAGACTGCGAAGAATTTAGATCTTTCACCATCTAACTGTACGTAATATTGTGAAATATTATTGTATAGTGATTGCATGTGTGTGAAGGTGCCAATGATGCAGAGGCATATTTTAGAGCGACATATGCTGCCTTTAAGATGACGTCTTTTCTCAGAAAGTCCAAGGTTATTTCAGCAAGACAATGCCAGGCCCCATTCTGCACATGCTAGAATGGTGTGGCTTCATAGACACAGAGAACGTATGCTTGACTGACCTGCCTGCAGTCAAGATCTGTCTCCCATTAAAAATTGTATGGCGCATCATGAAGGGGAGAATCCGACAACAGTGACCGCAGACTGTTGAGCAGCTCAAGTCCTGTACCAAGCAAGAATGGGCAAAAGTTCCACTTGTAAAACTGCAACAAGTAGTAACTTCAGTTTCCACACAATTAAAAAATGTAATTAAAAAGAAAGGTGATGTAGCACAGTAGTAAACATGCCTCCCTCCAAAACTTTTTGAGCATGTCACAGCTTTCATATGCTAAATTTGATTACATTTACAAAAGTCAATTAAGCTGTTCAGTGAAAACACTGGAAATCTTTTCTTTGTACTTATTTAATAAAAGAGAATTGTTCAAGAGAATTAAAAATGAACAGATCCTTGTTTTTATTGCATTTTACAAACTGTCCCAACTTTTCAAGAAATGGGGTTTGTAATAGATAAAGAACTGTTACAGACAAACAGAATTTCATCAGTACAGAGGAGAGGGGAGAACAATGAAAAAGCAGAGAAAGTTAGAGGACAAACAGCCTTAATGTTGCAAAAAGAAAAAGAAGCCTTTGTGTGAGGCAGAGAAGTGGGGATATTGCAGTAGCTTCAATTAGTTTATGATAAGAACCTTTACCTCTGTTACTGGATTTGCACTTAATGTGTAAATCAAACAAGCCAATTATGTCCAGTCTGTGTCCATGAGAATGTGTGGGGAAATCAACATGCAGGGACAAACCAAAACAATTTAGGACAGACATAAACTCCTTTGACATGGGAGTCAACATGGACATTAAAGTTCTGAAGTCTGAACTTACAATCATGGCAGGACACACAGAACTGGCCACAGTAAGTAGTTCACTCAGATGACAGGAATCACCAACTCTGACAAACGAATGCTACAGCAACATGTACATGAAGGGTGAATGTAATGGGGATGACCAGAGATACCAAGTGTCTGACACAATGTATACATAGAAGCGCCCAAACGATAACAGGAGCAAAAGCTACGCAGTCGTCCTGGCGTACAGTAACACACCATAATCTGGTTTTGATCGACAGACAACCATCGTTAGAGCGGCACAGATGAAGGAAAAAAGACACGCCAGGTAATCAGTTGAGACCATAGCCAGTCAATATTTGTTAACAAACATGAGAGGCCAAACTAACTAAAGAACCAGTAGTGCAGCAAGGCAAAGGCTAAACACCGAGCCATGTTAGCGAACCCACTTAACCAGACACCAAACCAGTGAGCAGAACACTAGGGAAACACTACAAGGTAGCAGAGCAACCAGACCTACAAGATAAAAGTAACTCACCCAGCAGAGTTACAGCCAAGAGGTGGAGGAATTCAGGTAGAGGGCCTCACAGCTCAATTGTTTTACTAGTGCACAGCCAAATGAAGCACAACTGTGTAAAAAACACCCAGAAAGATCAAAAAGAGCGACCAAAAATAAAAGACATAAACGCAGAGTAAAATCCAGTGAGAAGCAGCAGCACAAATGTGCACAAGTATAATCTTAACCTAAAGCAAATTTGACCTTCTCCTGTAAAGTTACCTTTTGGTCTCCTCTAAGTAGTTGGCTGAGGATCTGAACAGGAAGCTAATTGATGTCTACAGGAAAAGGCTACAAAATGACATCAAAGCACTTTCAGCTCAGCTGTGAAGTTAAGGCAAAATCTGAAAGACCAAGAATACTCTCAGACAGAACTGCTTGTATGTTGGCCAGAAAGGCAAAGCAAAACCCTCCATACGACAACAAAGGACAAGCAGAAGTGGTGGTGCACCGTTCTACTGTGCAGGGCTGCTTCCACAAATATGATATCCATGGAAGAGTCATCAGAAGGAAACGTTATCTGCAACCTCATCACAAAAGTCAACAGCTGAAGTATGAAAAACAACAACTAGATAAGCCAGAGGCACTTTAAAAATAAGTACTGTGGACTGATGAATTGAAAACAGTCACCAAAGGTATGTTTGAGGAAAAAAAGGAACAGCATTTATTAAAAAGCATGAATTGTTAAGCATGGAATGGATAAATTAAGACTTGGATTTGTGTGGCAGCCAGTGGCACAGCAAATATTGCAAGGGTAGATGAAAGAATGGATTCCACTACATATCAGTAAATTCTGGCAGCAATTGTGACAGTCAAAACTGAAGTTAAATAGAGTTTGGCCTCTACAACAGGACAATGGTCCAAAAACATACCACAAAATCCACCATGAACTACTTCAAGAAACACAAGCTAAAGCATCAGGACTGGCCCTTACAGCCCCCTGACTTGAACACCACTAGGTAGATTTTAAACATGCTGTCCATGCAAAACGATCCAAGAATATTGCAAAAACTAGAAGTTGTAAAAGTTGCACAAGGAAGAGTAGATGAAAATTGCTAAATCAAGAATAGAAAGGCTCCTAGCTGGAGACAAAAAGCACTTGCCAGGTCGATATTGTAAATAGGAATTTGTTATCAATGGCCTGCCTGATTAAAGGTTAAAAAAAAGTCAGAATATTTTTTTTTTAGAAATGCAAGCTGTGATTATCTGCTAAAAGGTGGTGTTACTAAGTACTGACTTAGTAGGTTGTCTAAACTTTTGCACGTGTCACAATTACCATTTTATTTTTTGCTACTTTTTCAGGTAAACAAATATAAAAGAACTGTGCATTCAGTCTAAACGAAGCCACACCCCCAGGCTACAACTATGCACATAGCCCTCGTTTAAGCGGCCGAGGTGGAGGTATAGCAATCATCCATACTAAAGCCTTAGGCGTGAGGCAGAAAGTAGGATACAAATTCTCTTCTTTTGAAGTTCTTTTTCTTAATATAAGTGATCAAGGAACAAATAAAAATTCCTTTTCACTAATTACAATTTACAGGCTGCCAGGGCCGAATTCTATTCTATCGAGTTTCTATCAAGTCTAATGACACTTTCAAATAAAATAATAGTTGTCAGAGATTTTAATATCCACTTTGACAATCCTCAAGATGCACTAAGTAAGGCATTTATATCTATCATAGACTCCATAGGTTTCACCCAAATCATAAAAGGGCCCACACACTACCACAACCACACTCTAGACTTAATACTGACCTTTGGTGTAGACATAGATAACTTAGCCATTCTCCCCCAGAGCACAGCAGTCTCTGACCATTACTTAATCTCTTACGAAATTCACTTTAGTGGTAATGTGCGTTCATCACCAGGTTATCATGTTAAGCGGACAATAACTTCCTCCACGGCTGGTAGCTTTATTAGAAACCTTCCACAATTATCAGCTTCTGTCAGCTGTCCATCTGATCCTACCGAGTTAGATATTATGACCAAGCTCTTAGAGGATAGTTTTCGATCTACTCTAGATAGTGTGGCTCCATTAAAAAGTAAAATAGTAAGGCAGAAAAAACTCACCCCTTGGTATAATGATCACACTCAGGCTTTAAAACAGACCGCCAGACAACTAGAGTGAAAATGGCACCTGACTAAGCTAGAAGTGTTCCAGTCTGGCTGGAAGGAGAGCCTTATAGACTATAGAAGAGCACTTGCTACAGCACGCAAAGCCTATCTCTCCTCTTTATAGAAAACAATAAAAATAATCCTAAATTACTTTTCAGCACAATCTCTAAAATAACAGAGAACAAAACAGTTAGTGAACCCCAGATACCATTAGCCTATAGCAGCAATGATTTTAAGAACTTCTTTAGTGATAAAATTGAAAAAATTGCCCTGCGATGGACTGGCGACCTGTCCAGGGTGTATCCTGCCTTCCGCCCAATGACAGCTGGGATAGGCTCCAGCACCGCACCGCGACCCAGAAGGATAAGCGGTTTAGATGATGTATATGTATGTATGTATTGAAAAAATTAGGCAGAAAATTCAGAATGCACCGTTAAAATCTACAAACCTGCTTCCCCATAATGCCAGCCTCAATCCTGAGAATATTATGATCCCTGCAGAGAGGCTGGAATCGTTTACCTTACTTCAAGAAAATGATATAGTTAAAATCGTTTCTTCCGCAAAATCATCTACCTGTATGTTAGATCCGATTCCTACAGGTTTACTCAAGGAAATTCTGCCAGAAATAACCAAGCCTATTCTCTTAATAATAAACTCCTCTCTTAGCCTTGGATACATCCCAAAATCTCTTGAACTAGCAGTAATTAGACCACTAATTAAGAAAGCTAACCTCGATCCCTGCGAACCATCAAATTATAGACCCATCTCCAATCTCCCCTTTATATCTAAGATCTTGGAAAAAGTTGTAGCAAAACAATTATGCTCCTATTTGCACAGGAATCAAATACACGAAAAATTTCAATCTGGCTTTAGGCCACATCATAATACAGAGACAGCACTAGTAAAAATTGTAAATGATCTACTATTATTCTCTGACCAAGAAAAAGTGTCCTTGTTAGTCCTCCTCGATCTTAGTGCAGCATTTGACACAATAGACCACGCTATCTTATTAGATAGACTAGAAAACCTTGTAGGAGTAACAGGAATAGCTATTTCCTGGTTCATGTCCTACCTCACTGATCGCTATCAGTTTGTTAATTTAAACGGTGAATCATCTGCCCTCGCAAAAGTAAAGTATGGTGTTCCACAAGGCTCTGTTTTAGGACCTGTATTATTCACACTATATATGCTACCACTGGGCACCATTATCAGTAAACACGGCATAAATTTCCACTGTTATGCCGATGACACTCAGTTATATTTAGCAAGTGAACCGGATGATAAAATTAAACTTGGCAAGATTGAGGACTGTATAAAAGACTGGATGTTGAGTAATAATGGGAGAGACTTAATTCTTGGGCCAAAAGCAGCTAGAAACAAACTGTCTAATTTTACACTTAAACTTAACAATTTCTCAGTTGCATCAAGCTCATCTGTAAAAAGCCTTGGTGTCATTATAGACCCTGATCTGTCCTTCAACACACATATAACTAATATTACTAGAACAGCCTTCCTGCATCTTCGCAATATTGCTAAATTGAGAAATGCATTATCTCTACAGGATGCAGAAAAGTTAGTTCATGCATTTATTACTACAAGGCTAGATTACTGTAATGCCCTGCTGGCTGGATGTCCGAGCAAAAGCCTTAACAAGCTTCAGTTGGTCCAGAACGCTGCAGCCAGAGTCCTTACTAGAACCAGAAAGTTTGACCATATCAGCCCAGTTTTATCAAACCTACATTGGTTACCAGTTAAATTTCGGATTGATTATAAAATTCTCTTACTGACTTACAAAGCACTAAACGGACTCGCCCCTCAGTACCTGAGTGAACTTCTCTCCCATTATGAACCATCACGCCTACTTAGATCACAAGGTGCTGGCTTAGTATTAGTACCTAGAATTAATAAACTTACGTCAGGGGGGAGAGCCTTCTCATACAAAGCCCCCCAGCTTTGGAATAATCTTCCTGTTAATGTTCGGGACTCAGACACAGCCTCAGTCTTTAGGTCTAGGCTAAAAACTTACTTGTATAGTCAAGCCTTTGGTAATTAGTTTTCACTGTCAGTTCTATACCTGCCAGAGTCTCTGCTGCTCTGCTAACACTTTAATCTGTGATCAGTCACCCATTACAGAACTGACACTGTGTTTTTTTCCTTTCTTTCTTTTCTTTGCCGAGTTGAACAGCTGCCCATCCTGTGCGTCTGATGCTGCTGCCTTGATTGGGTGCCACTGCTGCCAGCCCTCTAGACCGGCTTGACCACCACTGAGCTTCATGCTGTACAACGCCGTGCAAACCTCACCCTCACATCCTGACCCCACTGATGCTGCATCAACTAAACTAATCAAATTAATAATTTGCTCCACCTGTTTTCCCCATTTTGTACTAACAATGTTTACTATCCGGTGTCGACCAAAGGAGGATGGGTTCCCCTTCTGAGTCTTGGTTCCTCTCAAGGTTTCTTCCTGTCTCTTAGGGAGTTTTTCCTTGCCACTGTCACCACTGACTTGCTCATGGGGGTTTGGACCCGGATTTCTTTTCGTAATGCTGATTTTTTTTGTTTTAGTAAAGCTGCTTTGTGACAACACCTGTTGTAAAAAGCGCTATATAAATAAACTTTGCTTTGCTTGCTTGCTTGCATTAATATTCACAGAAAAAATATTTTGCTGCAGAGGTTGTGTTTACTTCTTTTCACTTCAAAAGTCAGCAAAACGTGTTTTGGCCAGCGGTGCCCAAACTTTTGCATACAACTGTTGATTAACTCGCCCAGTCGCCTATCTAAAATGGGTCTCTTCACTGAAATTTCTTTAAATTTACAAATGTCTCTTCATTATTAATTAAACCTTAGTAGGTCTAGGTCTGCTGAGAATCAGCCTTTCCATTTTATAAAGGGCAGAGCGGCAGGGTTTTTTCCCTCTACCTCCTAATGCTGGAGAAATCAGAGCAATGCTATACAGTGCAATGCAGTGTACTGATTTGATTATATTTACGTCTGACATCAGTTTCATTTTGCAATAATATTTGTGAAATATGTACTGCCCAGTCACTATGAAAAGAACTAAAGAGTTTCAGCCAACATTACATTTCTATTAGGTTATTAGACAGATGTGTTGCAGTGTTACTAACCAGAGGCAAAGCTTTGTCCAGAGGTATCAAGCCTGGCCTGATGGGTCCACCTTCCCTAAAGATGGCCTGTACCTCGTCCGGCAGCAGGAAAGACTCATTGTACCAGCTCTCAAACTCTGCCACAAATACCAAACACTATGTCAATCAATGAGTAGGAGAAAGCATTGCACAACCTAATGCAGAGTGAAATATAACATGGATATTTTATGTAGTTAAACAGTTTTAAGTACATTGAGCTATCAGTCATCTTCTTGTATTCCCTTAACACCTTCATCTGTGAATTCTGACAGCAACCAGACAGATATTTCTCAAGATTCACCTTGAAGACTGTTTCTGTATAATAGAAGTAACTTTTTTATACTATAGCCTATTCGGACAGGATTAGCTTTACATGGTGAGGTGGGGTAAAGCCAGTTTACCACAGGATGTCTGTAATGTTTATGACAAATTTGCACAGAATAAGATATTTCAGTCTAAATGACGGAGATGAGAATGGCTACTCGATTTGCACACTGCTTTTACTTCAGAAAAGAGTCCACGGCGAGACGTTTATTTAGCCGTTATTTGTTTCACCCTAACCATCTGTGTCATTAGCATTGCCATTAACTTCATATTCATAACAGTCAGATGAGCCTAAAATCACTGAAAAACACTGGTGAAAATGACATTACCTGGGAGAATATTATAAGGAAGCAGCTATTCTGATTTACTAAGGCTGACAGTAAATACTGAGTGTGAGCTGTTTAACGCCTGTGAAAAGCGCGCTATTTTTAGCACGAACATAGCCGTTGTTGCTGAGAGCTTTTCATGCGTCATTTTCGACAATGTAAGCACTCGCCATGTCATATTATTTTTAATTTCAAAGGAAAAAAATGTAACTAAAACAATTCTCTGTACTAAAACAATGTTTTAAACTGGTAATTCCGAATACTGTGGGTATATTTTACCCCTTATCAAAGTTTCTTAAGAGCGGGTTTTGTCTATATAATCATTTGATCTTTTTGTTTCCCAAACTATTGTTAAAACTCTTTTGTGTCTGCAGTTACTAAAGCTACTCTTTAGGTATAGAGGTGGTATAGCCCACCACTCATTTGTATAGATAGCATACTGTTATCTATAAAAAAATGAACAACATTCAGGTTAAGGATGACTGCTACTACTGATTTTAGCTATGCAATGTAGTCTTGTTTTTATATTTTTTACCTTTAACTTTCAGATGCTAAAGCTTCAGGAACTTACCAGTAAGCAGGCGTGTGCGACATTGGTCCACCAGATGCTGACAGTAGCGCACTTCAGCTTTGGTGCTGAGCAGCTCTTCATAGGTCTGTCTGTATTGATCCTTCATCTCTCTGAGGCTCATGATCAGAGATAACTCAGCCTCCTCCAGCACAGGCTCACCGTCCGCACTCAGAAACTGCCCTGAGGAGCAGACAGGCAAACAGATGGCTGTTCACTGAAGTCTTGAGTATACAGGGACGGGAGAAAATTTCATTCACAGATGAGCTGCTGTCTAGACTGTGGTCATGTCTAAACTGGGGTGATGTCTTGGCTTTATCTCAGGGGTCACCAGCTAGTGTGGTGTTGCCTTGTCAGTTGAATTTAGCAGTTTTGAGGTAAGCAAGTCCGTAATTACTCATACTGTAGGTTCAGTACTACAAGATGGGCCATGTTGTAAATAACCCCCTTGCAAGAGTGGCTGAGCTGGCTTTTAATATAAACAGGTCCTACTACCACAGACTGACCTCAAGAACTCTGGAAGTACATGTGGTTACATGCGCTAACACTGACCTTGACTCTGTCTTTGTTCTCTACGCAGCCGGAGTTCAGAGCTCATGCGGTCAATGTCCCGTTTGATGGAATTAATGGCCTGTGTGAGTTTGTGCAGTTGGCCCAGGCGCTCCAGCAGCACAGCTTTGTTCTCCTTCAGGATGCGGTTGATCTCGCTGCCCCGCTCCATCTTGAAGTCCTCAAACGCCTCCATCTTAGACGGAGGAGTGCTGCCAAAAGGAAAGAGGAGAATTAAAACTGGACAAAGATGCCTACATATGATGTATTTACCATGTACAGTATTGTGCAAAAGTCAAAGACCATTCTTTATTTCTCTGATTTCAAAACAGTAATAACAGTCAATAATCAAAACAGCCAAAAAGTACAAGTGCAGATACTTTCACCAGTAGGTAAATGTAGAAAGAGTTCATACTCGCTTTTCTTCTTGGCTCCTTCTCTGGCCATGTGTGGGGCCTCTGGGCCCTCAGGCTCAACAGTAGGCGTAAGGGCCTCTGTCTCTCTCTGCATCACAGCAGCGCCCACTGCTGGACCTGAGGTTCCTGCACCATCCTTTCTGTCATGATGAAAGAGCAGTGGGTGAACATACTGTATTCTTCAAATAGCTCAGGAGTCCAAAACATAAACCACAGGGGCGTAACATCACACTCAATTTGATTCTTGATACTGGGTTCACAATTTGGTGTCCTCATGATATTTTGGACAAAATTCAAATGAAGAAAAATGATGACTGTGTATGTTATTGCACAGCTAACTAATGAACATGTTGGTTTATGACAAGTTGATTTGTGGTGGTTTTTCACTTTAATGCTCAAACAATGCACTTTCATTCAATGCCAATTAATAGAATGCTCATACACCACAAGGCACATTGTTTATCATAATATCACAAAGCACTGTAACACCCTTAAAACTTAGAAATGAAAGCCACAGCCAATATTGTTGCCATGCACGGTTTATCAGCCACTCTCTAGCCTTCTTCATCAGTGGTTAATTTTTGACCACAGGGCCACTGTTGGTCACTTTAGGATGAACCACTCTCCGGAGAGCAGTGACATTGTAGTATGTTTACTGCTAGTTTGAGAGTGGTTCAGCACTCAAAAATATCCAGCCAAGAGCGACTCTGTGGTCAGAAAATGACCACTGATGAAAGGCTAGAGGATGGCTAACACAACAAATGAGCTACAGTCTATAACTGTACACCAGCAATGTGGAGCTACAAGGTAGGGTTTTCTTATAAAGTGGTGAGTGTATAATAATCAAAAGAATCTCATCTTTTCCTACTGTACAGATGTTTTGTAAAATGTATGTATGCATGTATGCTTTAGGTGTGTCACCAGCAAAGTGGAGCAAAGTACGGGCTTTTAATAAAGTAAGTATCATTTCATTTTTATTAATGTTGCTCAGGAACAGCCTAAAATCATGCTAATGTGCTTAGATGAGAGAATAGAGGGAGGGATGAGCTAAAATCACCTGCTGCTCTCTTGGCCCTTCTTGCCTTTGCTTTTGCTGGGTGATGGAGGTCCAGTGTGTCTCTGCGAGGGTGCGGCCACTCCGAGCCCAAATCCACCCTCCACCTCCCCAACAGCTCCCGCAGGCTCCTGACCCTAAAAACCCAGAGAGGTGTAGCAGTCTGAGAGTGAGGATGATGATGAAGACAAAGACAAACTAAAGCCACATGGTAAACACAAATGTAGATGATGACCCTAACCATACAACGTGCTAAGCTTTCTTTTGCAGCAGAAGAAGACAGGGTGCTCTGGGTATTTTCCACCAGAGAGTATTCCTGACTGAGGTGTTCCTTAATCCGCTTTTCCTGTTCCCTGTTCACAATAAACACATACACACGCTCTAGTAATTTTACAATTACCATTAATTATTATACATGAACAACAACAATAACAATTATTCTTAATCTCTTAAATTTTAAGGCCCATTGGCAAGTCCACACTTTAGTTCTTCCCTCTCATATCTACATAGCTTGCACATTAGTTTCATAGTAGTTACAAAATAAGTTACAGTACTTACTACATAGTCTGGAGTTTACGGAGTTAGGGTTAGGGTTAGGGGTTAGGGGTTAGGATTAGCAGTACATGCTGTAGTTTCTTAAGACATTATTATGTAAATGGGTAGGAGAAAGGTATTCTTACTTACTGCACAGCTTTTTTAAACTGGGCAAACACTTCCTGGATCTGTCTAATGCTCACAATCTGAAACAGTTCAGAGCATCGTAATCTCAAAAAAACACAGCCATTCATAGTGTTCAGATATATCTATACATACAATATATTTGGACAATAGCCATTATACTGACCGTGATCTCATCCAATGTGCCAGCCAGGTATCTCTGAACTTGGTTGTTAATCTCCGCTACCTGCGTCTCTGACAGAGTCTCATACATCGCACCCGCACGATTAGCCTTTGTGGGAAAAGTACATTTTTAAAGCACACTTAATGTACAGTTAAGGCATGGTTTCTATTTCATTGCGTTCCTGTCTGTTTGTTCAGAACAAATGTCTCTTTATTAAAAAATTGCACTAGGACTAAATTGGACCAAGATATAAGACTTAGGAGACTACATTAGAATATTACTTAGGAAAAGAATGATGTGTCTCAGAGTGTTTCTACATCTGAACACTAACCAGTGTGTCACGAATGGAAAGCTCCTGCTTCAGAAGTTGGACTTCTTTTTGAAGTCTTCGGATCTGGAGCTGAACAAAGAGAGTCAAATAATCAAGTTATTGTTTAACCTAATCTCAGACTACATTACACACAATGTTTATTATGATATATATGATTGAATTTATAATGGAATTCCTATTTAGTCCAAGACTGTGCATGATCTACTTTTCTCTTAGATGTTCCTGTAATAATGTATTACGAACTACAGTGTGTGAACAATTAACTGAAATCCAGGATCAGTTTCTTGTTGATGTCATAACAAAACCTTGTATCTCCAAAATAGTAACTTTAAAGGAGAAGGAAAAAAATCTGAGGTATATTAATGTAATGAGAATTTATTCAGAGTAATTCTGAACTATTTCTACTGATGCATTATAAAATGTTCACACTATGTAAAAAAAAAACAGATGGCATTTTTACATGGTGGAAAATATTAGAAAACAAAAAAATCTGGCATTACAAGATTTTGATATGACATCTCTATAATATGTAGTGTAAATCGTGAGTCATACAGCAGGGTCAACGTGCTCATTGATGGACGGTTCAGTGCGCACACATTTCATCCTGGCGGCAAAGCGGAGGGTAGAGAGCTGCAAGATGAAGTGAAAAAAACAGAGCTGGATAAAGAAATATAATAAATATTTTGAGTGCTGCTCTACGCCATGCATTCACCCGGCCTTTGCTAAGAGATTCCCCCTCACCGTCTCCTCGATCTGTGCTGCTTCACCATAAATGTTAGCCACCAGCACTGTGTTACAGTTTCCACCTGCACTAGGACAGCAAATTGAGTGTTAGCTCTGAAAGAGTGCTTACACAACCATTCAAAAGTTACAAAACCAATTTTGCTGCAGATACATGTACAAATATGATAATAATAATAATTAAAATAATTATTAGGAAGCATATAACTAGGAAGCTTTAAAAAAAACATTTTAGGTGTGTGTAAAACTATAAACAGATCAAAAGGTGTATAGCTTTGAAAATTAAGTTTTAATAAAATTAATATCCAAAATGGCTCATCAAATCTCAAGGCAGATAGTTTGCTAAAAAATTCTAGATTATAGATAATTACAGCACATTATTTGTCACCAAACAACTTCCTGTTGTTTCCAGAATACCTGAAATAGTGAATAAAATTTCTTAAAATACCTTTGGTGACTAGTTTATAATATTTAAAATTACTCTGTATTCAGTTATTATTAAAAAATGACCATTAATATGACAAATAATTACAAATTTTTAAAAGTAGAGTATGTGTGATTTTGGTGGGCTTTGGCATTGGACCAGACTGACCAAGAGAATCTTTAAGGGCATGGGTCAGTTTGCTCTGTCTGAAGGGTACATGCTCTCGGCGCCGGTCGGCCAGGGCTATAATGGCCTGCTCCAGGAAGGACAGAGATCTGTTAATGTACAAGGCCTCTCTCTGCACCTGACCCTCCGACTGAAAAGAGAGACATCAGGAGGTCAATCACACTGAAACAAGAGCTGAGACAAAGACATAACATTCATTAATGTATTTTGTAATGCAGGTAAAAATGCATCCATGCATCCTGTAATGCAGACGTAAACATGCATCAATGCATAATGTAATACATGAGTAAAAAGGCATCAATGTGTCATATAATGCAACGGTACAAATGCATCAATGCATCGTGTAATACAGGAGAACAAATGCCTCAATTCATTGTGTAATGCAGGAGAACAAATGCATCAATTCATCGTGTAATGCATGTATAAAAACGCATCAATTCATCATGTACTGCAGGCGTTCACTAGAAACTATGAGGAGGTCGGAGATTGTAGTGCCCTTTAAATTGCTCTCGAAATCCATTTTATGATTTGGACACCAAAAAAAATTGCTGATGTATGTCATTCTTTCAAATAATTATAAACTGTACCAAAAAGGCAAGTTAAATTTAATCATTGTGAAATTTGAGATTTCAAAATGCATTGAATTATTTACTAAGACACGTAATTCATTGAAGCTCTTAATGACTATAGTGAGTCAGCATTTGGCCAAGCCTTTGCACTTATTTTTGCACAAGGATTTTTTGATTTTTTTTCTAGGGAATTTTTTTTAATGTGTTGTAAAATACTCTGCAGCTACTAGAAATCTAGTGACAAATGTACAGTGAAACATGAACTCACCCCAGTTTTGCTCAGCCTTTCTGATCCTGCAAGGTCCACCAGATTAAGTTTGGATGTAACATACGATGCATTTGACAGCGTACGAGAACGAGACTGTGCCACAACACACACACACACACACACACACACACACACACACACACACACACAGATCTATAGTCATTTGTTCAACAGCAACACACTGATCTATTTTATACAGACTGCTTGGAAGGCTACATATATCATCCAGCTTTGATCCTGTCACTTGGTCTAAGCATTAAAATTGCATAATAGACACAGTGCAGAGGAAGAGTGAGTGTCTGCAAATGTCTCACCTCAATGTGGATGGTGAAAATGCAGTGTGACCTGGAGGAGTTCTTACTGAGGGCATGCTCACCAATTATTCTGTTCATCTCACCCTGTTCAAACATGAATGCCAGTATAAGACATACCTGATCTACGACTCGTCTCTCTTAGAACAAAACCTTATATTTCCAAAAAGGTAAGTTTACATGAGAAAGAAAAAACATTTTTAAATTTTAATGCAATAGAAATTTAATGCAATAAGATTCTTGTAAAATTATGTAATAAGAAATCATTTTGGATAATTACTTTTAGTTCATTCGTCATGAAATTCTGACGCAGTGTAAAGCAGCTGGCATTTTCAAATCATGTAAAAAAATTTAAAAATTAAAGTTTTGTTCTGACAGCACCAGTATGCGCTATGTACACCATACCTTGAATGGGATCATTTGAGTCTTATTGCAGTGTAGCAGTACACTATCCACAGATTTTGAATTTATTTTCATATACATGTTCTACAGCATCGTTTCCCAGTCCAGTTTTAGGGCACTCTATAGATGATGCAGATTTTTATTCTATCATAGCACAGCAACCACATATTCACTGATTGTAAACGATTGGTTTAGGTGTGTCAGGAGCAGGGACAGAGCAGAGAGATGACCTATTTGAGGGTCCCTAAGATTTGAATTGAGAGACTTTCTTACAACCCTCTATTCTTTGACAGAGAGTGATGCAGTTTTTCCCCGTGAAGCTAAAGATACTGAAATGACTAGCAAACTGGCTGAATCAAAGTGTAGTGTATCGTGGACCACTTGCCATTTAGATTACAAAAAAAAACTAATAAATGAAAAACAACTTTTTGGGGGTTTTTTTGAAGCCAAGTGTGAATCATGATTCTATATTGTACCAACAGAGATGGGATTGAAAGCTAATCTGTATACAGAACAATAGAGCAAGCAGTGCACAGGCAGGAGGACAAACTATATTTTTCTATACACTATAGTTTCATAATGGAGGGGAACATTACACATTGTCACAAGTTGGACTAATTTCTGAACACCTCATATAAACTACTACAGTTTATTACTTGCAGAGTATTATAGTCTATTAGTATTACTAAATTACTAGAAAATTTGAACTTTGAGACCTTTTTGTGATTTGTAGCAAACGCAGAATGAGTGATCTACTGGAAATAATCTGTAACCCATGTCTCTGTGGGGCCAGGATATTAACACTTTCTGAGTATATAAATTTGTGATGGTGCCTGAAGATAATGTAGTGAAATCATCTGTGGTTACATTGATTATTACATCATTGCCTCACCTCAAAAAGCAGATTGAGAGCCTCCTCTTCATTGTGAACCAAATGGAGAGACAGTCCCTTCACTGAAACCCCGCCCCCTGGCTCTTCCACGACAGCCAAAGCCCCACCCTGTGCTACCCGGACCCCTTTTATTGAAGCAAGCAGGTCCACCAAGGTCTCGTTGTAAATCTCCAGAAAGGAGAGGTGCATGGAAAAGGTGTGATCTACACGCTGCTCCACCTCACGAAACACCTGACCAGAGACAGAGATTTCAAACAGAGAGATGATGAAATACTGCATCCATGCAGCTCCAATTATCATGTTCTCCCTTCTCTAACAAACCCAAATTAGGTCATGAAGTGCAAGGAAAACACAGAAATGTGCAGTGCATGAAATCTCCAGAAGTGAGCCTGAGAAACTGGTTTAGTGTGTGATGCAGCACTCAAATACCTCCTGTATGGCACGAGGGATGATGCCTCTTTGTTTGTAACTCTCTGTGGCACCAGTCATTGTGTATGTCTTTCCTGCCCCGGTCTGCCCAAAGCACATAATTGTACCTGATGAGACATGACAGAAATAATAAGAGACATTACATTGGCAGGTTTCAAAGCATTAGTAGGAAGCAATAAAAAGAAAGGTCCGATGTGTCCAGAATGATGAACAGAGCTGTAGATATTCTACAGAATGAATGATTGAGAAAGCTGTACAACGCAAACATTTTATATTATTCATATAATAAATAACAAGAATGCCTCATATTTGAAAAGTGGCGATCAAACATCAGTCAGGTAACTTACCAAAAAATGTACAATAAATAGATAATTAAAGTATATCACTTATCATTTAAACCTTTTTGGTGTTCCCAAAAAAAAAAAAAGTACAGAAATTTTGAACACAACATCCCATCTAGCTTATAATAATTTTCTCTACACTGTATGAGTTACTACTGCATGAACAACAACATTTATTAATGGTAAGTGACTCCAAAATTTTGAACCCTAGAGTAGATTACTTGACAAGAAAATATAAATAAATAATTTGCGTATTACTTAGCATTTAATGTTTTTTCCCCCAAAATACTTAAAAAATATTGACAAAAAAAATCTAAAAATAACTTGTGTTGTCTAACTTATAATATTTAAATCTGCACTGTATATGCTATTACCGAATATAAAAATCAAAAAAATAATATGACAGAAACTTTTGAAGAGTAGTGCATGTCTTTCATGTCTGTCATGCAGATCATTTTACATACCATCTTACATGACTATTACTGACCGTTGTAGCCCTCCAGAGCTCCGAGCACCACGCTGTGGGCAACACTGTGATAGACCTCTTCCTGAGACACGTTGTGCAGTACGCCATTCAGCCGAAATGACCAAGAGCTCATTTGATTGTTCACCACCCCTTTCCTGGTATCCCGTCTGTGTCGCACATTCACCGTCTGAGAGACGCAGAGACGGAGAAATAAAAATAAACTTTTGGATAAAAAGGTTAGACAAAATGAATGACTTTGCATAACCTTCTGTTCGGTCACTGAACTCATGGAAATAAATGTAATGTGGTGTGATGATGATGAGCTTAAGTGATAAAGTGATGGTCCTTATGTGTGTTTGTTTACCTGTTCATCTGGCAGGTATTCAATGAGTTCTTGGGCAAAGCAGGCTGTAGGTCTGGTGCGGACATACACCTTCACCTCCCTGCCGTGTACGCTCATCACACCTGTCATAAACAGATGAATGAAACAAAATAAAACAGCAGTTAAAAATAAAACTTGCCAGACAGACACACTGAGATAGGTGATGCACTGAATTTGTCGATTATTTTGTGTTTGTATTACAGCATTACCACTTTAAAGGGGAAAATTCAACATAATTCAAAGGTTGAGATGTAAACAGAGTCAGTCAGAGTGGTTTGGTGTGAAATGCTTCGTTCTAGAGAAACTTACAGAATCAGAATTAACCAAAGTGGCAATGTTAGAAACAAGACATCGACCTCTAAAAGCTCCCTCACGAAAAGTTATTTTATGAAGTGGTTACATATATGCTGCCTGATGTCTGACACATTGTTTTACGATATGTAAAATGTTTTTGAATCCATTTATTTTAATCTATTAATAGCAGAGGGGTACATGCAGGGCACTACAAGGCAAACAGTCCCCAAAGAAAAAACGTATTTTTTCAGATTAATGACTATTTTACCATAACCAATATTGCATATAAAAACATATAAGACACATGTAGGTTCACTAGTGGTTTTGAAATGGTTATATTTGTGTTTTAGACACGTTGACTCCTGGTTTCTATCACCACCACTGTAAAGAAATCTGAGTCTGTTTCTCTAAAATGAATCACTTCATATCAAACCACTCTGAATGACCCCCATCTCAAGGACTGAACTATAAAGAATTCTTTGAATTTTTTAGGTGTTGTTTGCTTTAGAAATACAAAATGGTCAGTCAATTCACTAATAACGATCAATTTTGTCTTTCACTGTACTTTTGGCTATAACTGCGTTCATGTTAGCTAGCTAGCTAGTTGAGCTAACTTTAGTTCTTGTTAAGGTTTATGATGTTATGTCTGTTGTTATGCTCTCGTATAGCTGGAGTTTTCGAAAACCAGTGGCTGTAGACGAAGGCTGATAGTGTCAAAGAAACTCACCTTTATGACTTCTAGCTGTAATGTCATTGAAATAACCTGTAAAAGTATATTTTAATCTATATTTCATTCGCAGACATTAATCATTTGGATCGTTTAGTTAGCTATACAGGACAACGTAGAGGGCAGCTGTAGTGTTGACGCTGTTGCCAGAGCAACAGCACCCTCAGAGGCTGCGTCGCAAACCGCCACCTTGTTCCCTACGTAGTAAACTAAATGGAAATTCCGCCATTTCTAGTACTGGAAAGTACTAATCATGTCTTACAACGCACCTTAAAATAAAAATGGCAAACGTCCTCTCCAATATATTGCGCCAAAAACGCACAAAAAATCAAGCCGACTGACAACAAAAAATACTCAAAATGACAGCCGAATCGACATCTGTCTAAAATACTTTTGCGTTTGGAACTTGAATGTAAAAATAACAGTTACAGACCCAGTGCAGGGTTGCCAACCGTGAGTAAACCACGGAATCGTCCCATAATTGGAAACTAAATGACATGTTTTGTACTGAACTGATACGGGGCTTTGTTCCGTATTAACGAGAATCAGTACAGCACAAATCTATGTTAGAGGAATATTACATTTTAGACTATAAGGACAGGGCGGTTTGTATGAGACAGAAGCCTGTCTGTCACGGTATGTTCAGGACCCAAACAGAGAGTGAGACTCACGGCCAATGAGAAGCGCTGTCGGCGTTGCTATGATACCCCTGAGAACAGCGCGAGACTTAAAAAATGGCCGAACACTCAGACAAACGTCACATCCGAGTGCGATACGTAGTGATTTAGCTGCTAAACCAGTTCAGAATGAAGACTTAATGTGATTATCGGTTCAGTAAATAAAAACTGAATGAAAGAAAGAAAAAGGGCTTTATCTTTGTGACGGGTCATTTTCTTCGTGTTTACATCTTTAAGCACAAATGCAGCTCGCCATTCTGCAGACCATCTGCCTGTAGTCAAAGTGCACCACGTTTTCCACATTCGTAAAAAAAACTTTCTGCACAACTTTTAAATGGTGGACAAAAAAACTATTGACCTAAGTGGAGAGGCCACTGAAAAACAGGCTAAATCTGTCATCTTTCTTGAAGCACCGTGTAAGTGGGTAGTTTTTCAGACATTTTATTTTTTGTCCAACATGACAAAAATGTCTGCGAAATTATACTTAAGCGGTCTGTGGAATAAAAACAGTTGTGTACGTCCCTGAAGTATATGTGTGAACCCATTCAGTGCCTTTCTAAAATACACGCATACATGAGATCAAGCCAACTGGAGCCTAACCCAGCAGTCATTGGGCGGAAGGCCCTTAAACAAAACAAAAAGCAAAAATATTTAGAATATAGTCATATTGTTTATTGTGCATCACCATTTTAAACATTTTCAAAGTATGAAAAATATTAACGCACAAAAAGCAAGTACACAAAACAGAAATGTTTGGTCTATTGTAGATTAACCTCATATAATGCCGAATGGATACACAAGTTAAAACAAGCAATATTTTTTCACAGAAAAATTAGAAGCAAAGGCTTAATTTAACTCATATAATAATAATAGTATGCTTTTTTGTTAATTGCCTAACCTACAGTAATAAAGCAATAAGCCACTTAAGGATGTGCGTTACTGCGATTTATCACTGCGAAGGGAGTTTAGGCTCTCCTCTTTGCGTCGTGCAGAACACCCTTCCCGTGATAACATCGCAGTAATGCAGCCTCAAGTGGCTTACTGCTTTTATAAAAAAACATACAATTTAGGTTAGAATTAATAATAACTGACATAAACAAGTATTCCGCCAAAAAATGTAGTTCCTTTAGCGTGTGGTATCCTCGCCAAGCGAGCATGAACCGCTGAGTGAGGGGAACGGTTGGTCGCCCATCGCTGTGTATTGCGGTCACTTCAAGAAATTCTAAAAAAAATAAATAAATAAAAACATTTTTGCCGTATAACAATGAACACATGATAACACGGCACTGTTTAATGCAAAAGTTCTTTTTGGTCACCAAATTACCACCGCGAGTCTTAGTTAGCACAGCCGTGTCCCTCTTCTCGTGCTCGGGCTGAATCTCAAATGGCTCCTTGCTCCCTACATAGTGTCCTACGTAGGAATTTATATTTTGCATACCAACGGTGCAAAATATAGCTAAGAAATAGTCATTTAGGACTTTTGTATATTTCGATAAATGATAAACTATTTGGCTGTAGAGGCTAGAATTTCTAAACTTTCATAGCACACTATATAAGGAATACGGAGCCGTTTGGGATTCACTACTTCTGACGAACATTTGAAGCGTGTAATCCATTCAAGTGACATTTTTAGACTTCCATACTGCCGTTTTACAGTTAATCATACTGCAAGTACTTATATTAAATGATTTGTTTAGCCTGTTAGCTGGCCGACCAGCCTAGTTCTAGTTAAGAATGTAAGTCGCCAGTCCTTCAGTTAAAACAAAAAACGGGTTCTTACTTTATTAAGGTACTCGGTGGTCCACGCCAGCAGCATGAGAGTCAAAGATTATTCAATTAACAGCACAAGGGTTTTTTCGTGCCATGGCGCAGTAATACAGAATTCGGTTGTTGTGTGGCGGTCAAGGCCTCAAACGGGGCTCAGCCAATCAGATTTTAGGACCGGACCTATCCGTTTTATAACATATAAGTAACATATATTTGAAATAATTTGTTTTTCTAAAATCTAGTAAATATTTTTTTTCATTGTTTTGTACGCTTTTGACGCTACATTTTTAATGGTACGGAGTGGTTCTGAAGTTATTTCTTGAAAATTGCAGTGGAGGTGGGCAGGTTTTTTATTATTTGAACTCACCTTCATTAGCATTGCTATTTTAATATGTATTCCTCTTTCTAATGCTCTTTGAATTAATGCTAAAGTTGTCTACATTTACTTCTAAATAAACAATGTAGAAACACCTTATAAACATTTGTGTGGATATTTCTGATACACTTGCGTCACTATAGGGTCCAAAATGGCTTGTCACTGGGGTGGTACCTGTAAAAGTACATGCTGGTACCTTCTGGAAAGGGTATACAGTTGTACCATAGTTTAAAGGTACATTTTAGCCTTTTGGGGTACCTAATAGTGCCTTAACGGGTAGATCTCCTGGACCAGGATTGGCACCTTGATCTACGTAAACTCATTCATTTGACAGTAGTGGTACTGACCTTGTATTCACTCATTTAAAATACAAGCTAAGTCAGGGTTCTCTACAAAATAATGCATCACTCTGTATTAATTATTAATTGTATAATAGAAGTGAGGCTGAAAGATAAATCACTTTGCATGCTTAAATTGTTCTTCTTCAGATTGAAGGAGAATGTGTTGAATATGGTGCGATACAGCACCAAACGAGGTTGTGCTATTGTTATGGTGTTATTGTTACGATGTCAAGCTTGTAAAAATAGAAGTACATTTTGGTGCATAGAACCATATGCAACACAATCTTACAACACTTTACCACAAAGCTAAACAACCATTTCACCATGCAAAAAACTTTTTACGTTTGTGGTTCTATATAGAACCAATGTCTAAAGAACCCTCAAAGTACCAGCTTTTTAAAGTGCGTATATTAGCAAAAACTTTGTAAGTCTTAAGAGGGGAGATTGAACCTATTAAGAGCATGTGAAATGTTAGACCAACCTGAGGCAACCAAACCTCTATATGTTGTGACATCACAACCACATCTAACTGGCAGTTTGGCCACTATGTTCAGGGTTCAAACCTCAGGACTAAAAAAGGTGGATATTCTGGTCTTCTCAGCCAAAATAAATCAGGCCTGAATCTCAATTTATAAAAAATAATTTAAATTGCAGTCAGAAAAATCGCAAATTAGATATTTTCCCTGAATCATTCAGCCTTAACTTGAAGCAAAAACAAAACACAGTTAGTTATTAACAGGTAGAGTTGTTGTTACAAAAGAAAGGCATGGTTGCTTTTAATAGATTTTTATTAAAAGAAAGATGGTGTAGTGATGGTGTAATGATGGGGTTAGATGCTTGTTGAGGGCTTCGCTGTATTTGGGTTTCTAGATGCACTTTTTGCTGGATTTAGTACGAATACAAGGCAGCCAGCAGATGCAGCAGAGGAGGCTGTCAAACAGAATGGAACAGAAAAAAAAATTAATCAAGGAAAACGACCATGCATCATTGAAAATACACACTGTTTTCATATTTAGTACCACTGTCATAGAACATTTCAACTATACTAATTCAGTGAGCTCTAATATTGACATGCAGTCCCTAAAGTTTCATTTCTAAACCTCACCTTCTGAACCACTTGCTCTTTTTACCAGCTTTTTTTCCCTTCTTTTCCTGTTGAGTCAGAGGAGGAAGGGTCTTCTTATTCATGATCCTAGAGCTGCTCGCCTCCATCCAAGGGGCAGCTGCTGTAGTGGCTGGAGACACACCAAGTCCATCAGGTCCAACTGCAACGGAAACCATTTTTGTCTCAGTCTTGGAACAACTGATTAGTCTTGAACGCTGCTTTATTTTCTCGTCCACTTCTTTTGCGCAATCTTCCAGGGCCTCCACTAACTCTCTGCAGATAGACTCCTCTTTACTGTCATCTATTTCCTCCACTTCACTGAGGTCACTCATAAGAGGATACTCCTAGAAAGCAGAACCATACGTTAACACAACATGATTCATTGCTACCATTAAAACATACCAGAACAGCTCCCACTTCACACCTACATACCTCATCACGAGCCTCATATTCCTTACTCTTCATCACTCTCATCCTCACGCAAGGGGTATCTGCTTGAGCTGTTGGAGCAACAGCTGGAGACACAGTAGCAGGTCCAGCCACACCAGAGACTGCAGTCTTCTGAGTCACTTCCGAATAGATTTTCTGTTTGTCGTCTAGCTTTTTTATGCCAGCTTCCAGAACCTCCAGTAGTTCTTGGAAGACCTTGTAATGATCACATGTGGCAGCCTGATCATTTTCCAAATCAATTAGGACAAGGGGTTCCTATAAAGCAGAATCAGAAATTTAATATGATTGTGAACTCTTTCCTAACATTATAACAAACAGAACAGTCCCTGCTGCTTACCTGTTGACCACTCCCTTCACTGAGGGGCTTCTTGGCCTTTTCACCCACACCGCTGATGGCTGGCTGACAACAAGCCCATGCCGTGGAGGAGGGAGGGGAGCTATGGAAGCTCCTTGGACCACGAAGAGCAGCTGCT